AGACCATGAAGACCCCCAAAACCCCCAGTTTTTGGCATGCTGTGGACGCTACCCAATCTTGATGTCTATTGAGGCACGTGTATCAAGGAGCCTTCGGAATTAAAAACTCCGCACGTGAAAGAATTCAGCACAATCATGGAGTAGAGTAGCCTTAGGGGGAGCCCCGCTGAGCTTTGCTGAAAACAAGAACTGTAACGTTATTACTAAGCCTTTTTGTATAACACATTGTTTACGAGTCATTTATAAGCTGGTGTGTTACGCTGAAGGGCGGTTATATGTACCAGCTATACAGATACAGAAGCTGGTGTGTTACGCCAAAGGGCGGTTATACCAGCTTATAATACAGATACAGAGTACCTATAGTTTAGCATAATTACATTGTAGAGGTCTGAACATTCTTTTATATATTTACCAATTTGTATGCAGTAAGGGTTATTACCTTCTAGAATGAAATTGAACAGCCGTACATGTACCATTACCAGGTTGGTGGGGGTAGCGACAAAAAAAAACAAAAAAAACGGGCATACTGTAAGTCTACAAATTTCCGCGGTATATTTAGATTCGCGGCATTCGCGGGGACCTTTGTACCGCGAATCTATTTCCCCGCGAATATGTTTTGCGTAAGTGCGCCCCCTCCCCACATGCATTCACGACGGTAAGCGAAACACAAACACACGCGATTCACAAATCACTGCAAATCAACTTTATTCTTAGCAAATGTTGAGTACCCAATTTTTTTTAAGTTATGCTGATGTCAAAAAATTATAATATTATGAGACACCGAATCGCGATATTACGGCACTGGCCGTGTCAACCGTGTACCGCCGAAAAAAATCTATGCGTGCAGAGCGCCGGCCATGCGCGCCCGGGCGCTTGAAAATTGCGGGAACATCGGGCATATCTACAAGTATTTTTATGAAAAATATAACGGCTGGTACCTGGGAAATGTTAGTTGGTTATCTTTTGTGCCCTGCTTTGCGGGCGTTTTTTTCTTCTTGTTGTTTTGCTGGATAGAAACGCTCACCGTGGGCCTACAAAACCGAAGGCGACCTTTGCATACTTCCGGGTTCAAAATCTCGCCGAAGACGGCAGAAATTTGCTTAGTAATATATATATTCTTTCGATTATGCATTTCTTCACTAGAGTATCGATGTGTAGTCGTGGAAAATAGCATTTTAGCGCTTATTTCCGAACAAAGAAAATTGTTTACACGTGCGTCAGATCGATTGTCAGCTTTACCGCCGGCAGTCTCGCGCGGTGCACGAAACAATTTTTTGCGCCGCGTTTTAGGAGATAAATGCCGGAACACGAACTTTTATTATTTTAAATATACACTTTACAAATTTTTCTTTGGAAAATAGCCAAGGAGACATCGCGAATCTAAAAATACCGCGGATTGTCCATTTTCCCGAAACCGCGAACTTTAGGCCCCGCGAATCTAAAGAGACTTACAGTATATAAAAAGGTAACGATCTTCCCCACCAACCTCTGCTTGGAGAGTAGCTAGCAGGAGGTCAATGCCCTCAGTTGTAGTACTGACATCAGAATAAATAAAATGTAGGTCAGTGGCATATATTTGGAGTTCACTTTGCATGTAAATATTTCCTATTATGACTGAATAGCTGACATTTACCTAAAGTGTAATAGCGGGGGAGCGAAAATGTGCCTCGATGATTGAAAAGGCGACTTGTGATAATCTCACTCTATTGCCATGGAGATGAGTCAAAATCTAATTTTTTGAGGAAGAGTCTAAACTTTTATGGGGGTGAATTTTGTCAATAAAAGTTATAAACAATCTTAAAAGCCAACCATTTTTAAGGCAAGAAAAGGTATAGGTATGGAAAAATAAACAGATCAAAACAATTTAAGCCTTAACACTGATATAAAAGCTGGAAAATTCCTTTTAAAAGTGACTGGTCTTCATAGTTTGTAATTGCATACACCAAAAATAAATTCAATTTTGGTATTCATTTGGTGTTCAAATTTTCTATCATCATCTCCATCCAGTGTTAACGCTCAGGCGTGATAGCTTATTTTGTTATAATGCAAATATTTCCATCTAAGTGCGGCTTTTTGCCCTGGTTTTTTAAAAGGCCGCCCCTGGTGAATTCTGGGATAAAGTGCTACAATTCTATGATACATGCGGAACCATGACCTACTTTTCAATGACAGTTGGAGGTCAAAAAGATTAGCTTTCATTCTCACAAGGGGGCAAAGCAAAGACTTTTTCCATAGCTCTTTTTTTTCAATAAGTGTGGTCCAGATAGACTAGGTCACTACAAAAGATCTTGACTAGTACAGCTTCCCCTATTCACAAACTAACAGCAAGCAACTTCTAATCTTGTTTATCTGATATCTCATTGTTGTAACACACAGAATGGTAGGTAAAAATGTATATAAAGGAGGTAAAAATGTATATAAAAGTGTATAATTCTATTACATTTTTTTTCTAATAGTAGTAATAGATTTCCAATATGATTTCTGAAACTAGTTTGCGATGTTTCTATGTTCCACATACATTATTTTACTGATGAGGGGTTTAATTTCTTTTTTGGAGGCAGCGGCTAATGGAGATTGACGTGTACATTAGCAAGCATTTCCCTTCTACTCAGAAAACAACTATTATAGTGGCACTGTCAACTCTCTTGTGGGTGCTTCGCTGACATCATAAAAACATCACAGTCAATATATCTGCACAGAAACTACCTCGTAAACCTGTTTTCAAACTCTGCATGGTGTGAATTTGAATCAAGACCCTTGAATTTCTCCCCAGCTATCCTTTTGTCATTTCTGCTCTATTGAAATAACTAAAATCGTTAGAGAAATATTGTGCACTTTTTGCCTTGTACTTTTTTAATATCTGCAGCCCTAAAAGCTTGTTAATGTAGGGAACATAGTCAACATGTTGTAGTACATGTAATGCTAAAATTGTTAGTGAAATATTGTGCACATCTTTGCTTGTACAAAGTACTTCTTTTGCATAACTGAAGCCCTATAACCTTGTTTATATACAGATGTTACGTTACAAAATATACAAATTCTTTGTCATTCATTTATGTTGTAATGATGCTTAATGCCCAAATCGTTAGAGAAATATCATACCAATCTAGGCTTATATGTTTTGTGCATACATTTTGTAACTAAATCCCTATACCCTATAACTGTTTATATGCAGTTATAATAACTTATATGTAAACAAATCCTTTGTCATCCAACATGCTGAAAATATTGAAGGCTCAGTTGACTTGTCGTGTGTGTTGAGCCTTGGCATAATTTCCCACCGTTATGAGTCACCTTGTGGGTTGTAAACCTTTCCTACAATGTAAACCAGCGTCGCATCGGCTCAGAAATCAGCGTCCGATGTAATATCTCCTCTCCCAACACCATGTCCTCCGCGTAAACAACTCAAATCACTCACCGGGGACGCCTTTATTGGGTCGTTATGTCGAATAATTAGACCATCGACTCTTTGAAATAACAAACGCCAAAACGGCGGGGCGCTAGCACCAATCATGTTTGCGGGGGTACGAGGAGAATCTATCGTAAGGTGACCGCGGAAAATGACGAAAGTTCAGGAAGGAAAATGTTATTGCAAAATGTCGCAGTTGACCTTAATTTGTGGCGGATTAAATTTGGTTGGACAAAAGCAAATTATTTTTGTGTTTTTAACACTACCTTGTGCAGGTTTTTCCAATGCAAGCAGATCTTTTGATGGCTTCAAAGACAATATCAAATTGGCCAGGCTGTATCCATTTGCCAGGCAGTTGCTAGTACCAATTGGGCTGGCATAAAAAAAAGAAAGCCTCATAAAAACACATAGGCAAAAAAGTCACTATTACAAATGTACCTAGAAAGCCAAGATACACAGAAAAATTTCAGCCATATGAAGTGAATTTACCACAATAGTCAGTAAAGTTTATAGCATTATGTCATAATATGACTCATAAGATATTTCTACAACAACCTCATTCAGAAAAATTATTGTATTAACAAGCACTGATGTTACAGAAAAACACATTAGTTACAATCAAGCAACACAACGGGGTGCCATTGACAGAAATTTATTGATTTAAAGAAACGCTTATTGAAGATGATTTGAGTCATTTCACATCATGATTCCCGTTAGACTATAATAAATGTTGTTTTCAAACTGCAAGGTTCATCCTTTGGTCAATTGTCAGGGCTGGAAATACTGGGTGCCTATGCACTTTTTTGCATCCAAAGTTGTACCTGGATACTTGTGTAGGCTTTGTACGTAGCTACATGTATAATAGCATACCATATTCTTACCATATTCTAATATTACATAATAGTGTCACAAAAAAAACTACAAGCCTTTGTTGTTTTATTAGAATTTTGAAGTTGGCCATAGAATTTGGGTTCAATTATGTTTCTCAAAGCTCAGTGACATCATTTACAATTTGGTCACATATGGTGGTGCCCATCTCTGTTTTTGTAGCCCTTGGGCCATACAGTTGTGCAATCACTACAGCACAGGGCTTAGGGCCTCTCTGACTGTCACTCTCTCTCCTGTCCTTGGTGCTGAACACCACTCCACTGGTAGTGGTGTGTGTTAAACTCTTTATCAAATGCTGAATGCTAAGTTAAGTAGAGAAAGCAGTATGTACCATTTTCGCCAGTATGACTCGGGTAGGGATCGAACTCAAAACCTACTGAAACAATATTTTGCTTCTGTGTGCTCCTGAGCTAGGTGAAGACTCTGTTTACTGGCATTTTTAGAGAGATATCTTGCTCTTGATATATAGACTGACTACAATATTTCCTTTGTTGTCTCTGTGTTCTCCAGAGCCTAGTGAAAGCTCTGTTTACTGACATTTTCACACGGAGAAATATCTTGCTTTTGATACATAGGCTGATTATAGCATTTCCTCTGTTGTTTCTGTGTTGCATAGAGCTCAGCAAAGACATTGTTTTCCAACAATATCTTGCTTTAAATTTGATATATAGACTGATGAACAATATTTTTCTGTGTTCTCCAGAGCTCAGTGAAGACCCTGTTTAAGTGCACGTGGCCGGGATGTGGGAAGACCCTCAGCACGTGTTCAGGCATCGAGAGACACGTCCGCTCCGCACACCTCGGGTAAGTCATACATGTACATGTACAGCCAGGAATTTGTGTTGCTTCATCCCCCAAGAGAGTTGAACATGTTTGTTGCATTGAAAAATAGGTGTTGACCCAGAAGAGCCTGTGTATCTCATCTCAGTCTATATTGTTTCATTTGAAAAAGAGTTATCATTCGTAAGAATTTACCTGTCTCAAAAAAGTCAAATCCAGTAGATTTTGAGTTAGCCTTTTTAGTTGTATTTATGTATAGTGTAATGTTGTTACAGTTACACTTTCTAGGTTTGTTCTTCTTCTACTAGTGATTGGCCTTCAGGGAAGAGTTTGCAATTATAAACCTTTTTCTGTTTTTCATTATCTGGTAGTTCTGTACCAACTTGTAATGGCATGAATTTTGTTGATAAAAATATCAATTTTATTTCCTCTGGGCCACATTTTCAAATGCCGGTAGGCAATATGTTTTCCCTTAGCAATCAATAATAACAATAAACAATTTCTAAACTGTCTAACCAGGCCGAAAGACTCAGGAGATGACGGTGACTGCAGTGACCACGAGGAAGAGTTTTACTACACAGAGATCGAGGTTTCTGTGGACACGGTGGCCGACACGTTCGCCAACATGTGCGCGGCGTCCCCGCCCCTCAGGCAGCTGTCCCCACCCCCCGTACACACCCCCGTACACGCCGTGGAGATGGCGCGACCCCCACACGAGGACCACATGTACTTCCAGCTCCCCCCCACAGGGAAAGTGGTACAGGCTGTTATTACTTCACAGGTACATGTGCTTTATCATATTATTATGCTTACTGAAGGAAAACATATTGTTTTTGCTCTGTTTCTTCTTCTCCAAATAAATGAGGTCAATGACCTGGACCAGACGTCCTTCACCATGGTAACTAGTGTTGGGTTACATAATGTTGCAATTTTATAGCAGGAGGGATTTAGACTCCTGTCTGACCATATATGAATGTGTTTGAGTAAGAATTAACAGAGCAGACAGACCATATGAGAGGGTAAACATTATATCATATGCATTTGCTCTGCAAATGTGACCTTTCTAGACAAGTTAGTGAAAATATACATGGTATAAAAGTGCAAAATTTAAATCATCAAACAGCATTATGTACATGTAACTGTACTAACATCTCTCTGTGTCTCCCCCCCAGGGTGCAGCTGCCCCCATGACCATTCCAGTCCCACCAGCCAGCGCCTTCTCATGGCAGCAGAGTAACTCTCTCCCGAGTTCACCGGTCCTGCCAATCTCCCCTACTCCGGTAAGTACACTGTCTGTGTGTGTGTGTGTGTGTGTGTTTGTGTGTGTGTGTTTGTGTGTGTGTGTTTGTGTGTTTGTGTGTTTGTGTGTCAGTGTGTGTGTGTGTGTGTCCCTGTGTGTGCGTGTGTGTCTGTCTGTCTGTGCATGTGTGTGTGTGCATCTCCACCATTCTGTCAGTGCTCCAAGTACCAGAAATACAGATATTTTTCATCCTCTTTTATCCAAAAATTTACATCTTTTTTCTGCTCCTGTTGTTGCCCAGATTTCTCCACCATTCCGTCAGACAGACCAGAAAATCAGCCTTTTTTTTTTCATCCTCATTTACCAGAAATTTTGAAATATTTTCTCTCCTTTATTCCGCAGATTTCTCCACCATTCCGTCAGCGCTCCAACAGTGCGTCTGCCCGGCAGCAGCAGCATCAGGCCATGTCCCCCAAAACCGCCGGCAGCGCGCCGTTTCCCCGTAAGATGCGCAGCGAGGGGAAGAAGTGCCGGAAGGTCTACGGCATGGAGAACCGAGACCTGTGGTGCACACAGTGCCGCTGGAAGAAGGCCTGTTCGCGATTCCTCGACTAGCTACGCAGCGTTCTTTTCTTGAGGAACAGAACTAGATTTTGAGAGAAAAAAGGCAGTAATTTTAGTCTCCACCAGACTTCTTTGCAGGCTGAGTGAATTTATTACAGTAGAAATCGGGCCTAAAAAGGATGTAGCTAGGTAGGGGAGTTGGCCAGCCGAAAAGGGGCCAGTTTGCCTGTATAGAAAACGGGACCTTCTTTGGCCTCTACTAGTTATTCAGCTTGCAAAGGAGTCTGCTGGAGACTACAGTTATGGGCTGTTTTTGTAAATAGTTTTGTATAAAATGTTTGAGGGAACAAGACAAGAGAAACCTTTTTATTGTCTTCCAGAAAGGAAGTTTTGTAGGATTTGAAGGACTGTGAGTTCGCTTTACTGGTAAATTGTAAAAAGTTTGATGAGTACTTTTGCTGATCAGATATTTCATTGTGAAAATATACTTGGGAGGAAAAAAAAAATATTTTGGCCAATCACAATGCATCAGATTCTGCATGATGTATTCTCCTTTTTAGCTTTTGGAAGCAGGAAAGTATTTGTCTCAAAAAGTATAAAATGAAACAGCATTTGAACAGTTATTCTTTGCGATTGAGGCTATTAAATGCCTCTGCCATTTTCATGAAAAAAGTCTAAAGGAGGAATTTCTTGCAAGAAAACTAGAGGACTGAGATATTAACCATCCTGCTATGTACCTAACCTGGTAACCAATATAAGTTTGGTGCCAAATGGCTACCTTAGCAGGATAAAGGTTAAAAGGTGGGGCCAAAATGATCGTGATCACAGTTTGAAAGTAACAGAGCTGTCATTTGATTGGTTGAGAGCCTGTGTATGTTGACCAATAGCAGGAGGCAAAACAAGTTGTATGTCTGGGCCAGATAGGATTTTCTGGAAGAAGAAAAAAATTGTCTTTGCAAAAGACAAAACTTAGGGGAAGGTTGAGTTGAGTACTGTCAGCTATTTTGACAAAAAAGAACAAATTTACGTTCTGTTTTTGGAAAGAGGTGTAGGTGTTTGGAACATTGGAACTTGGTACAACTTGAAAATGACATGATAGCAAATTAAGTTGATGCTTGTATATATCTTTCACCCCTAAACAAGTCAGCTCTTTGTCTTCCAATATGTTACAAAATTTACCAACCTTTTTGCCACACTGATTTATTTCATTGGTTCTCCCACATTTTAAGGTGAAAATATAGCAACCAGACATCATAAAAGCAGAGGGCAGGAAGAAAAAGTTGAATATGACTGTATTCACTTCAGAAAACTGAATGGCATCAAGGCAGAAACCTGGTCTTCAGGCTTTGTTATGGGTTCACCACACCACGAAGTGGTGTGGTGAAACCATATTGCTTTTTCTGATGTTTCTTCTTCTCCTTCTCCTCCTCCTCCTCCTGCCATATCTTTAAATGGATTCAGCTTCTTCATTTTAGGGCCTAAGGTCCTGAAATTTGGTATGGAGGTACAGTGGGCAAATACCCCTAGGCGTTTTTTAATTATTGTGATACAGGCTTTTAGAATGGTTTTATTTGAGTTTTTTGGCTGTGTAATAGCTAATGTATTACTGTGTAAGTGTGCAGTGTTTACCACATTTGGACATGAGTCATCACAATGGCATGCAAGGCATCAACCAATAGGCATGCAGCTTTCCTCTATTCTCCTTGCTGATTGGCTGTTGGGATTTAACTGGCTTAACTTCATTTACACCTGCACAGAGCCATGCCATACTGACAGTATGTCTGTATTCAAGTGTTTTGGTAGGTATTTTAAGCTTTCCTGCTCCAGCATTGGAATGCGGGCTATGAACGCTTCTTTTTATCTTGAAAATCAACAGTTTGCATTATGCAATCCTAACCAATAATGTAGGGAATAGCTATCCAACTGTTGTAGTCTTAGTTGTATGTTACTTCATACTATAGTTATATCAATGTAAAGCATTGTTTTCCCTTGTGTTTCTCATTCTTTCCCTGCCATGTGGTAAAATGTGGTGAACCCATCGCTATATTTGCTCCAAAGCAAATATTGGCCTTTCTAGTTTTCATTGTTTTCCCAGCTAAACATATTTTTTTTAATCCAAGAGTCAAGAAATTAAATTGGTGTGGCCTTATAATTTAGCCTACAGTTACTTACAAGTATAAAATACTGTGGCAAGATCATAGCAATATTCACAAGTTTTGTTTCATATCCTTCTATGTGACTTAACATGTTACAAATGCCATTTAAAAATGGTGAAACACAGTATAGTATACAAAACGCATAAGTAAAAAAAAATAATTTTTCATACTACGGTAGCAGTTGTGTTATGTTTAAGGCTGGGTTGCTTCGAAATGGTGATTTTGCCAGCTTTCGAAAAGTAAGATAACTGTGAGTTACCACATTGTCTAAGACAAGGAAGATTCTTAATTTTTTTCTGAAAATACTAAAAAGCGTGTATAAAGTTAGTGTACAGAACGTGTATATGAAAGTCCGATGTTGGTTAGCGGTACGAATGTGTCTATTTTTGAGGGGTGTTTCGAAAAACACTTTGTGAGAGGCGAAACTTGTGCAGAAGGATGTATTTTAGAGTCGAAAGAAAAGGTTGATATTTTCGTAAGTGACTGAAATGTGATTTAACTTAGGCCAAAGACAGTCGACCCTGTACTGACGATTGTTGAGTGATTTGTAAATTGAGTCTACCTCGATACTGATTGAATATGTATAATCTAATGCCTTAGGAGATCTAACAGCAGTTGTGTAAGAAATGTATGGGGAAATTTAAAGCATGAATCGTATACATACAAGATCACAGCAAACTCATTTCTCCCAGTTGATTGAAAGTTGTCAGAGTCAGGGTTAGAAACTTGGACTGTGAATGTAAAATAGACACCAAGAAGTACAAAACTACACTGGCTATATATAGGGATAATTTTCATTGGTATTTGCCTGCAGAAATTTTACCCTATTTTTGCCCAGTTCTACTATCCGTAACCCCTTACTAGGAAAGTCTGGTAGACGTTCGGCACTGTCACAAACTTTTGGGCACAGTTTTCACAATATTTATCATTGAACAAGGAATACATACCAGAACAGAACTCAACTACTCAGCATTTATAGTAGGCCAATCAGGGATCCAAATTTCTTCAACATCAACATAGCAAAGGCAAACAGGATGCAACAGTTGTATTACACCTGTCAACTTTTGTATTCTTGTAATTTTTTTGTTGCCAGAATGAAACAAAACACTGATCCACATGCCAGCACAACTTGGGTTAACCTTTTCCCTGCCGCCTAAACCCGTAACCACCAATACACTGGTGTCACTAGGCCACCTTGGCAGTCAAATGGTTAAAAAAATTGTCTTTCATTCATGTTACATGTATTCGGTTGCATACAAAATATTATACATTTTCAGTTTCATCCTATGGAAATTAGGCCAAGGATATGTTCCTTTCTCTTATGTTTTCCAAGTTGCATTTTGTATAGCAAAGAAGGCTACAGATTTTAGTAGTTCCTTTGCTTTATTTCAGAAAAGTTTTGTCATTTTAGCAATTTAAACTAAATGATACATGTACTTTACTCAAGTGCAGCAAGCTTCAGTTAGGAATTTGTTTCAACAAGTTTTCAAAATGATAGTCCCTGATATAATGATGTTACCATAGTAACAGCTCAGCCAATCAGAAAGTTCATGTACAGAATAAGGCTTTTTTATTGGTTCAATTCTCTGAACCAATCAGAGTTCTTGCACTTCAGCATAATTTCTAAACATTACGAGCGTTCTTCTTGTTAAAGAAACGTTTTTGTTCCATACTATATGTTCTAGTTGTATAGTCATAAGTCATAAGATGACTTAAAAACTAATATCATTTTGTATATGATTGTGATCTATGCACTCGATTTGTAAAAGAACTCACCAGAACGGTATCCCGGCAACAGTATCCCGGCAACAGCTTTCAGGAACATACCATGGTGCACATACCAGGGGGATGGACAGGCCAACTGACAGATTTTTTTACTGGTCCACTCTCCGATAAGGATTTACCAATCAGCAGTTACTAAACCAGATAGTACTGTAACTAGTTAGTTAATCGGTTAGTTAACTAGTTAATAACTGTACTTTATCAACTCATTAACAGCATTTATCTGACGAATCGGGGACAAATTGTACATGAAACTGTAAAACATGCAAACAAAAACTTTGTTGTACCGTCTCTCTCTTGTGTATCTGTGACGTTTTGATGTCAACATTGTCAACCTTTTCTAGTTGAATAAACAAATGTTCTGTGTAGAACTGCTTTGTTTGTTGTTTTTTTTTGTGTGTGTTCTAGTTGCAATTTCAGGGTGGCAAAGCTGGATTTAAAGTCCATTTTCTTGTCATTCTTATAATGTTGTACAATATTAAAGTTGAATCAACAATATCCCATAGAAAACTGGTATCTATTAGGCTAAAATACTATGTCGCTGATGGAAAGCAGTTGCATGTTTTGTACTTAAGGCTGGTTCTAGCTACATGTATTTATGGGTGGTACCTAAAAATGAGATGCATCACATAGCTTGTTAGGGGGCTAGTATGAAGTATGAAATCATGTGAAAATGCTTGCAAAAGAAATGTACTGAAATAAGAAGAAAACAAAGAAAAGTACTCTCATACTTTTATTTATATTCGATTAGTATGTACTTTATTGCTCTTGATTTGGTACAAGAACAAATGATACTATCTTTACAATATTACTAGTATGTATTTTGGAATGAATCACTATGGGCTTTGTTACTAGCACCATCTAGTAGGCAAAAGCAGTACTGCAACCTTTCATCCATGACTTTAGTAGATGCTATCTGAATGATAGATAGATTTTATTTTGGATCGTGTATACACTTCAAACATCTGCTCTAGATTTTGCACCACAATATTATCTTATAGCTAGCTTGGAATGTTATTGGCGCCATCTAGTGAGTAAAAGTAGTACTGCACCCTGTGCTCACAGAAATTGTCTTCTTACAGATCATATTGATGCAGGTTTTTAGTTTCTGAATCAAGTACAAAATGTTTATATATTGGTCCCAAGTCATGTTGAATAAAGCTCTTTGCTTTCATAGTTGTTACAGTTTATCAATCTATCAATGCACTGGCTTGATAAAATGGTTAAAATCCATTGTTTGAATTAAAGAGTAGCCTGGTATGTTGACTTTATGCCACGTATCATAGCTTTTGGGGCTATCAGAGGATGCCTAGTTATGTTTTTATTTTTCCTGACCTGTTACTTTATATGTCTCTCTGTAAAAATCCAAGAACAAACAAACACATCAAATCGGTTTTGCCTTATTATATGTATGATTGCTAATTGTCCTTCTTGTCTCCCTGCCTGCCGACCCAGTTATCCATAGACTGGTGCTGTTTAATGAAGTCTGCAGCAGCGTCCGCAACCACCAGCGGCACGAGGCTGGAATAACACACTAGCTTTGGTGAGAGACATTTGCAATACAGGGTTAATATTCTACCTCAAGGTATATATGGTGAGGTGGTTGGTTATTCTGATGAGGTGGTCGGTTATTCTGGTGAGGTGGTCAGTTATTCTGGTGAGGTGGTCGGTTATTCTGGTGAGGTGGTCGGTTATTCTGGTGAGGTGGTCGGTTATTCTGGTGAGGTGGTCGGTTATTCTGGTGAGTCCATTATTCTGGTGAGTCCGTTATTCTGATAACGGACCACCATGCTAGAACCATGCTAGATCCATGCTGTATCCAGAACCATGCATTACCCAGAACCATGCTTTATTCAGATCCATGCTTTATCCAGAACCATGCTTTATCCAGAACCATGCTTTATCCAGAACAGTGCTTTATCCAGAACCATGCTTTATCCAGAACCATGCTTTATCCAGAACCAAGCTTTATCCAGAACCATGCTTTATCCAGAACCATGCAACTGTGCCTGGGGCAAGTGTACGCTTTTGTACATGCAGAAACTATTCAGAAATGGAATCTTAGTAAATGAAATCAAATCAATGACAACCTACCCCTGTATGGCACTTGCAGCGGCGATTTTCCAGGGCATAACCAGCCAGAACTGGTTTCTCCTCACGGCATCAACAATCTGCTGCACAACATAGTCCGGCTCCAGGGTCTCCACTTCCCTATGTATGGTGGCAGACAGACATGTGGTCATCAGAGATGGCAGACTTCACAGCCTTACTCCATACAATGCTTTGTAACACTGCAAGGACCACAGACTGTAGTCACACACACACTCACAACCACACAATCACACCCACTTACACAGACACACACACACACACACACACGCATACATGTACACACATACTCACACACACAGACACACTCAAGCACACATGGTTCAACACACACACATACGCACAAACACACACACATGTATACAAACCTCCTTGACTTACAATAAAAACAATAAAAAGAAAAAGAAAATTGGGAAGAGGTAAATGAGTTTCCTTACTTGACCTTAGCCCCTGTGAACATGCCGGTGTTGATGAAAGCCGGACACACACAGGTGACGTGGACACCGGTCAGCTTCTGTACACGCAACTCATGCTGGGAAAAGAGGATCACTTAGATGAGCATGATGGTAGTACTCTGTATGTATATCTGTACAGCCAGTATAACTGCCCTTCGGCGTAACACTCCAGCCTCTGTATCTGTATAGCCATTATGCATTTTGTAACTGTCCTTTGGTCTGTTATGGGTATCACTGCCTTATGCCTTCAGCATACTAGTAACACACCGGGCTTTGCAGCCACAAGAAAACAAGATTGCCATCAGAAAAAGTACTTAAGCCCCACTCATAGTGCACTAAGCAAATTCCTTTGTAAAAAATCTTTACAGTATCTGCTGTGTGTGTGTGTGTGAGTGTGTGCGCATGTCTATGTAAGTGTGTGTGTATACTTGTTTGTGAGTTTGTGTGTGGTGCAGATACTGTGCAGACTTCTCACTCTCTTTCTCTCTTCTGTTTTGTTTTGAGACTTTTCCCTTGTAATAATATCTGTCTTACCCTCATGGAGTCAGCGAACCCGACTGCCCCAAACTTGCTGGTGCAGTAGTCGGCCAGCCCTGCTGTTCCAGCAAAGCCGGCGGCAGACGCGATGCTGACCAGGTGTCCGTGGTTCTGTTCCACCATGTGTGGAAGGAAAGCCTTGGTGGTCTATGAAAAGAATAATAAAAAAAAATTCCAAATACTTCATGTTTTAAATTAAGCCAACTAGAAATCAGATTTGCGTATCCATACTTTTTTCTGACAACGCTTTAGTGTCACTGATGATGGGAGATGCTATACCTGAAATGTCTGTTTCCAAAATCAAACTGTTACTGTTACTGTTTTTATTGGTGTAGAATTTAGAGATTTCAGACTTCGGGGAAGCATTCTGTTCTCAGACTCATAACTTGATAACTATATTACTTATACTATTACTATCTTAGTAGGTCTTTAATTTCCTAGTAGTACCCAGAAGTGTGCGTTGGTGTTGATGTCCATGGTTTTCTGGATGAGGTCATCAGGGCAGTCCAGAAACTTCCGTCCCGACACGATCCCAGCGTTGTTCACCAGGATGGTCACGTGACCCACGCTGTCTTTCACCTGTCAATCAAAAATCATGTTTGACATCAGAATCCAGGGCTTCAAATACATATTTTTCTGAGCACAAGAGCTACCTATCACCAAAAATTAATGACCCTAGCATGTCCAAAACAGAAGATATCAAAAGCCCCGTTGCAGTACCATAACAATTTGCTAGGGGGCCAAATCATTTTGAGGACAAATCCCACCTACCAAATATCAAGACAACCAAACCAAGCCTTCTTGAATTATTACGTTACATACAGGTAAAGTTAAAAATGTCCTTTGACTAAGGTTGACATGCAAGACGGAGGGTCAACGTCCGCCCGGTCACTGACCTCCTGAGCGGCCCTGTAGATGTCTTCCCTCTTGCTACAGTCGCACACAAAGCCGAACGCCTTCCCTCCTTCCTGCCGGATCATCTGCACAGTCGCCTCGTTCGCCTCCTTGTTGATGTCCCAGGCGACGATGGTGGCCCCCAGGCGGGCGAAGCTGAGCGCCATGCCGCGGCCGAGCCCGCTGCCCGCCCCGGTGATCAGCACGATCTCGCCCGAGACCGACTTCTTACCGGCCGGGAAAATCAGCCGCACCACGCTCAGCAGCCTGGCGACCAGTGCTACCACAAAAAGCAGAACTACACCGATTATATCCTTCAGCAATGCCATAGCTAAACCGATATACTAGTATATAAACTACTTTGCCACCGTGAAAAAGTACGTTACTTTGTTACTCTTTGCCCCAAGTGGTTTTGGTCTCGCAACAGCGTTCGGGGTCACGCAAGGGGACTCGATCTCGCACCGGGGTTTATCTTCTGTTACTGTCCTTGGTGCTGATTGTACTATCTAATGGTACTGACAACACGTTTTCAGTGTCATTGTCATTGAATAAAGAGGCTATTTCTTTACACAACCAATTGTTAAATTAAGCCGACGTTTCGGTGACCGCCTGTCACCTTCCTCAGGGCAATTCTGACTGGTTCACATTGAGCTGCTATGGATGCGTTCCCAAACGCAAAATACTTACACACATACCACACCGTAGAAAGAACTAGAGGTCAAAGATCCCATACCTCCGTCGTTTGTTATCATGTTTACCTTCACAGAAGGAAAACATATTATTTTTGCTCTGTTTCTTCTTCCTCTTCTTCTTCTCCAAACAAATAAGATCAATGACCTGAACCAGGCGTCTGTCACCATGATAACCAGTGTTGGGTTTAAAGCAGGAGGGATTTATTTGTTTTGGCTTACAGTAAGTTGTTTTTTTGCCACTGTGAAGAGGGCTTTTTTGTTTGTTTGAACCATTCTTTATTCATAAAATCACAATTCGGCATGCAAGCCACTTTGGGAGTAAGACTGGTGTTACCGCATATTGACATGAGGGTCAAATTGGTGGCTTGTCGGCCCTAGAGCCGATGCTTTGGGCAAATTCTAACTGTTATAACCTGGAGACCAGTCTATCGTGGTTGGGGCGTGTTTTCTTCGGGGCTGCTGAAGCTCTTCCCCGCCCGCCTCAACTAGGTTCCCCGGTAGGTTCTAGGTTCCCCGGTAGGTTTTGCACGATAGGGGCCAAACTTATCATAGGCGTAACACTCCTACCGGGCGGTTTGTTGAGCTAAGGCGGGGAGAAACTATTAGAGCCCCGAAGACAGCCTGCCCCAACCACGATAGACTGGATACCAGGCTAAATCTACCTGGTCAAAGGTCTAACTGTAACACTGTGCACATGTTACGTGGACTTTGGCCCCTTTCTAGGCTTCTCTTAAATCAGTGCAAGAGTAGTCTTGCTTCTAGAGTAGAAATGGGGTTTATTTTAAAGGATCTAGTCGGCGTGGTTGTACTTTTTGTGGTGTCGCTGGTCGCCAGGCTGCTGAGCGTGGTGCGGCTGATTTTCCCGGCCGGCAAGAAGTCGGTCTCGGGCGAGATCGTGCTGATCACCGGGGCGGGCAGCGGGCTCGGCCGCGGCATGGCGCTCAGCTTCGCCCGCCTGGGGGCCACCATCGTCGCCTGGGACATCAACAAGGAGGCGAACGAGGCGACTGTTCAGATGATCCGGCAGGAAGGAGGGAAGGCGTTCGGCTTTGTGTGCGACTGTAGCAAGAGGGAAGACATCTACAGGGCCGCTCAGGAGGTCAGTGACCGGGTGGACCTTGTCCTTAATGCTCTTTTAATTGTAATCTCAAAGCAGATGTTGGGATAGACAATGATCAGAAACAGGCTGGGACAGCTAGAAAACGATTTTCAGTTACAATATCTACTTGTCAATGATTAAAATTATCTTAATGCCAATAGTCTAAGACAAAGTTACGATTGTGAAGAGAACTAGCGCTAGCTATCAAAAAATTATCATTGACATGATTGCTATGGTTGATTGACAGGTGAAAGACAGCGTGGGTCACGTGACCATCCTGGTGAACAACGCTGGGATCGTGTCGGGACGGAAGTTTCTGGACTGCCCTGATGACCTCATCCAGAAAACCATGGACATCAACACCAACGCGCACTTCTGGGTGGGAAGGTTTTCAAATTTCTCATACTGTTTTTGCTCTGTTTTTTCTTCTTCTCCAAATAATGACCTGAAGCTGACGTCTGTCACCATGGTAACTAGTGTCGGGTTACATTAGGCTGCAATTTTATAACAGGAGTGATTTAGACTATAGAAAACCTACATACATATATACATGTCAGGTCTGGCCGACTACATATTCATATATATATATATATATATATATATATATATATATATATATATATATATATAGAGAGAGAGAGAGAGAGAGAGAGAGAGAGAGAGGGAGAAAGAGAGAGAGAGGAAGAGAGAGGGGGAGAAAGGGGTAAAATTTGCTTTGCAAATGTTACTTTTCTAGTTATCGTTATGAATCGGTAGTACTGTCTCCAAAGACCACGAAGGCGTTCCTTCCCAATATGTTGAAGAAAAAGCACGGGCATCTGGTCAGCATCGCGTCTGCTGCCGTTTGCTTAAAATGTCCGGTCCAGCATTATGCTAGTGTATGCAAATTATCCTGAATTATGCTAATATATGCAAATTAACCTCTCCCAACAGACCACGAAGGCGTTCCTTCCACACATGTGGAAGAAAAAGCACGGACACCTGGTCAGCATCGCGTCTGCTGTCGGTCGTCTCCGCTCTAAAATTATGCTAATATGTGCAAATTAATCGGTAATATGCTAATATATGCAAATTAATCTTCTCTCCCAACAGACCACGAAGGCGTTCCTTCCGCACATGTTGAAGAAAAAACACGGACACCTGGTCAGCATCGCGTCAGCTGCCGGGCTGGCAGGCTTGTCCGGTCCTCAGTATGCAAATATATGCAGATAAACCGGCAATATGCTAATAGATGCAAATTAACCTTCTCTCCCAACAGACCACGAAGGCGTTCCTTCCGCACATGTTGAAGAAAAAACACGGGCACCTGGTCAGCATCGCGTCTGCTGCTGGGCTAGCGGGCATGTCAGGGCTGGCCGACTACTGCACCAGCAAGTTTGGAGCTGTCGGGTTCGCTGACTCTATCAGGGTAAGGCTGGTATTATCATGAAAGTTCGTCTGTGTTGGTAGTTACATGTTTCAAGTTAAAACTTCTGGGTAGATTCCTCATGTAGAACTTTCAACAAGGCAGCTGTTGCTGATGTTGTGTCCCACAAACAAATGCAGGGCATACAATAGTACTTTTTTTCAACTTGTAATGAGTTAAAAGGGGAAAGTCGTGTACAGTGCATTTTCCATGGGCACAAAATCGGTGGCATGTCAGGACTCGAACCAGACAAGGACCTCTTGCTTCCGAGTCGAGCATTCTGCCGCCACACGACCCCACAAAGCTCATCTGTATTGGTAGTTTTAAATTCCAAGTTAAAACTTCTGTTCCAACAACAAGATAAATTTCTAATGCCCTATTTCTCTCCCAGCACGAGGTGAAACAACATGGCGTCCACGTGACCTGCGTGTGTCCAACTTACATCAACACTGGAATGTTTACAGGGGCAGAACTCAGGTACGTTGAGCTCTTAAATGTCCGTCCAACGCTGCCATAAATGCAACGATTGACAATCTATCCTTTGGTAGCAGCATTCCAAAACATTCACAAAAACTCTGACACACACACGGACAAACACACAGAAACACACACAGATAAAATAACACAGAAACACACACTCTCAATGACCTGAACAAGACGTCTGTCACCATGGTAACGGGTGTTGGGTTACATCATGTTGCAAGTTTATAGCAGGAGGGATTTAGACTCCTGTCACCATATATATGAATGTGTTTGAGTAAGATTCAACAGAATAAAAAACATATGCGAAGGTAAACATTGTGCTTTTGCTTTGCAAATGTTACCTTTCCAGTTTTAATACTTAATGTTGACGTCGATGTTGACTTTTCTGCCTGCGCAGGGAGGTGGCTATTCTGGAGACAGATCAGGTGGTTCAGCAGATCGTGGACGCGGTTCTGCGGAACCAGTTCTGGCTGGTTCTGCCTCGCACGGTGGCCATCCTCAGCGGCATTCAGGGGTGTGTTTTAATTCTGTGACATAAATCTGATGTTTGTGAATACCTTAGCAGAAGGAAAACATATCGTTTGTTGCTGTTTCTCCTTCCTCTTCTTCTACAAACAAATAAGGTCAATGACCTGAACCAGGCGTCTGTCGACTACCATGGTAAATAGTGTTGAGTTACATTATGCTGTAATTTCATAGCAGTCTACACTAGCCTTTATCTGGTTGCTATCTTATACTCAATCCCTCATTCTCTGGTTACCAAATGGTTACCAAAATAAGTGCATTTATTATAAGGCGTGTACCTCTGAGCATTTTCTAATGATGTGAGTATTTATACCAGTATGCTAAAATGCTGCGTTTTCACTTTGAACTAAAATGTTTGTGTACCGTTCCAGTATGGTGCCGACGTTCCTCGCCGATCTGGCCCAGAAGGCCATCAACATGCACGGCTCCATGGACAACTTCGTCGGTCGTCAAGGCAACAAGAAGAACAGCGGTCGTCAAGGCAACAAGAACAGCGGTCGTCAAGGCAACAAGAAGAAGAACTGACGACTACAACACAAATTTCCAGATGTGCAAATTGTGAGGACAACAATAAAAAGATATCACAATGAACAAGACAACCCGGCTCTGGAGATTTTATTTAATTTCGGTATTGAATAGATTACAAACGCCGATGTCTGTTCTACAATTATAGCATTATTTTATGACAATATAGCTATTGACAATTACAATAAAACTGTTGATGGATTACCTGAAATAAATCATGAAATACAACAATTGTACTGAAAACTAACAATTAAGTCATATTTTCAATATACATTGTACTTGTTTAGTGTTAAACACAGCATTTAATTATGGAATGTATCTTAAAATAGAATTATAGGTAGAGGATAATAATTTCAAAGACAAACTTTCAACACAGTGCACTTGATCCTTTGTCAGTTTAGTTATCTGTGTGTCCCATAGAACAAGGTTTTACTTGTTTGCTTGTTTTTTTGCCATGACTTGTTCATATGCCTTTTTAGCAGTGTCTTTGATGAATCCAGGGACTTCGGGAAACAAAGGTAGCATGTTGGCCTCTGTCTGCTGCCCCCTGGTGAAGTGGTGAATCACCTTCTGTCTGTCCTGCTGCTGGTTGTACAGGGTGACCAGGTAGTAGTGAGCATAAGGCACAAAGTAATCACACTCTGGTGCCAGACTGAGGAAGTGTTCAAACTGTCTGATTGCTTCTGTCTCTGACACTTTCTTAGACAGTACGGCTGTGAAGTACACAGTCTCCAAATGGTCCTGTTTGTACATAAGGGAACTCGCCATGGCAGATAGGGCTTTGGCTAGAGTAGGCAGGTTACTCCCCTCGAACAACATTGTTGGCTTAGGGCTTGCCTCCCATATGGCCATACCCAGGTAGCAGTAGATGTGGTGCAGGTGTTGGTACAGCCAGTCTTCTGGTCCGTGCTGTAGGATGGCAGCAACCACCTGCTGCAGGGTCTGCACCCGGCTGTCTCCATCTGGCAGCTGTAGGGCTGTCAGCAGCAGACAGGTGCTGTCAGTAGGGTCAACCTGTAGCTGGGAGGTCATCAGCTGCTTCAGCTGGGCTTTGTTCAGGTTCAGGAATGACTGTTCATGCAGTATTGTATTTGTGTCATCTGGTGTTACCGTGTCATGCAGCATGAATCCCTGCACCAAGGCCTTGACTCCCCCCAGGTCTGTGTACCCACTGCTGGTCAGGATTTCTGCTCCTTCCTCCCAGGACCTGTAGGCCTTGATGAGACGTTGTGCTGTTGGTGAGTCCTTGTGCTTCTGTAGCCTGGCTCTCCGCCGCTTAAGTGGCCCCTTCTCCTCCTTTCCAGCTGAAGTGATGGACATGGCTGCTACAGAGGACGCGTCTTCAGGCAGGCCTGAGTCCTCTGTAGTCACACTGGGTGGTACAGACTGGAAAGGGAGGGAAAAATTATAACATTAATTTTTTTATAGTAACAGAAACGGCTTTCTAGACAAGTTGATTTACACAAGCAAATTTCTTTTTGACAGATACGTTTGGGATAATCTTGACTCTTTGATGAGAATAAGGTTACTGTTATGAACAAGTTTAGATTTTCTATAGACTGCACTAAAGTATGGCAAAAATATTACAAAAAATTCATGTTTCCAGAATAAGCTCAAGACGTTGTCACTAAACTGTGTGACATATACGCTTACATACTAGTAAACCATACCTGTTTCTCCATCATCCCTGCCCACTCCCATATCTCTTCCTGCTCTGTCGCAGCTGCCTCTTCCTCTTCCTGTCCCTCCTCATCAGCAAACCACCACCCCTCCAGCCCCACGTGGATCGGTCCGGTCCAGCCGATCCTCCACAGCTCGTCCTCCAGCAGCAGCTGCAGGCAGGTGCGGTCCGTCCCCTGCTGGATCTTTGTGTTGAAGCTTCGGAGGACCCAGTAGCCAGCCTGGAGAGAGAATGGATACAAGCTTACTTGTGATAAAACTAATAGAAGTATCCAAACATCTAACATGACAAGACTTAAGATTACATATTAACCCTATTTACACCGGGGGTGGCTTTTGAGGCCCACGCCAACTTTCATCTCAGATAGCACCTAAACGACTTGCGCTAGAACCGTCAAATTTGGTGACTTTTCCTAGAATGTATCTTCCAATAATTTCGTATTTTTTTTATTGCCTTACCAGTGTAAGAAACTTGACATGCACAAGGAGCGACCCTTCCTCAACGTTCTCTACTTGGATGTGTCTTTCTCTCTCCACCGCCCTGCGGATGGCCTCGTCTGTCTGTTGCCTGTTGCTCAGGTAGAAAGATGCCAGCGTCGTCACTCCTGTAGCCACCCCTGCAGCCAGTCCTGCCCCCACCACACCTGCAGCTGAATCTGCAACCTTGCTGGCTGCAAACGCTGCTGCAGCAGATGCTCCAGCTACAAGGCCTCCAGCTGCAAGGGCCGGACTCTGGATCCTGATGGTGGCACCACCAAACGCACCTACGGACATCTGCAGGGCCGGCGGCTGCCCGATGTTTGCAGCTGCTTGGCTTGCAGGTGGGAAATTGTGGTACACCTGCCCCACTTGTAGGGGAGCCATGGGCAAGCCTTGATAAGGATATCCGCCTGTCGAAACCCCAAAACTCTGCTGGCCTTGGTGTGGGAGCAGTGCTGCCTGCTGTTGACCAACATAACCTTGTCCTGGAGGCAGGACGACTTGTGGATTTGCTGCAGCAGACGCAAAAGCTGGTCCCTGAAAAGTTGCACCTCCCTCGGCTGACCCCTGGCCCCCCTCCCCTACTGACTGTTGCCCCACCTGCACCTGTTTAGGGTGTGTCTCTTCTCCCTGATCTGCCATTTCTGCTCGTTTTTGTGCCTCTCCACCTTCCTCAGCACCCAGAGGACTTGGTCCTTTATCAGCCATTCTTTAGATGAGCAACTAGACAAGATTATCAAGTAAAAACCAATCCTGTTTCCTGGTCTAACTCAACAGTACAAACATTCGTCACAAGATTAACAGGATGCACCCTTTGACCTTAAGTTTTCATGACCTTCCAACCTTAAATACAAGTCTTTTATACAGAATGAATATGAAGTGCTATGCATGTGAGTTTTAAGGTGATGATACTGTGTTTTTCATGAGCTTTTATTGCTATTTTTAAAAAAAAGTTTACAAAGTGTACAAAACAGTGACTTACCTGTCCTGTTTACTCCCAACATTTCTTGCCCCCCAGCTAACCGTGTACGTCAATAACACAGTCACAGACTGGAACGGCCCAACCTCAGACTGCCAGACAACAACAGGATTATGTTTCAGCACACAAGGAACATGTTTTCAAAGAAAACTCAGCTCCCATTGTCAAGACTGTGCACGTAAGTCTGGCGAAGGGTTCAGTACTAGAGAATTACCACCATTACCAACAGCCCACCTACTGCAAGTATGAAATGTACTTTTATAGTAACTTAAGTGTATCTTGATCTTGCAGATATTCTCCAGACTTTAAAAGTCAGTAGCTAATGAAAGGCTTTCTGCAGGGACATAGAATGGTCTTGTCTCCTTGTTATATACAAACAGATATCACTTAACTGAATTAGATGGTAACCGGTTTCTACTAACTTTTAGCTGAAAGTAATGCATATTACTTTTTACAGAGCCGTTGGTAAAGTACTGCGATTGAGTTAGTAATATTCTAACAATACCTCGAATATATTCCACGGGGAATTGAATTTTGTCAACAAGATAATTCACGAACGGCTGGATGGATTGGTTTCATACTTGGTGTGTTGGTAGGGTGTGACGAAAACTGGAAATTATGACATTTTGGGCCCCCTAGTAGCTTCCCTTGGTACTGCAGCAGAACTTCTGGTTTTGATATCTCGCGATCTGGACATGCTAGGATCATGAATTTTGGATGGAAGGTAGCTCTTGTGCTCGGGATGAAGTCAGCTTGTTCTGGAACTACAGGGCAGTTTGTTTCAAAATCTTCAAGAGAGGTTAACTAAAAAAAGCCAATTTAGGGGGCTCTATGCTTCAAATATCCCAAAGTATTCACCAGAGTTGTGTCTACATAATACATTTAACGTTTGCATTTGTTTGAGTTTTCTTACGTATGTGAAACTTTTTCATCATAATTGTGGATGTATTTATTTTAGAGATGAACGATCTTTACGACACCCCACTCACAATATTGCATTGGGAAAAGGGGGCGTGACTTTTCCCGCCAATGACGTAAGAGCCAAGTTTTGGGCGATCACACCATTCAAAACGTATTCAGATTTATTATTTTATTTTCTATTTCTAAACAGGCCTTTAAAATACTTTTTGTCCTTTTTGTGTAGTAAAATGATAAATTCATATCATTATTAGAATTTTCAGGGATGATAATGGGGATGTTAATTGTGATTTTGTAAATTTTAGCTTTGTTGTGCAAACACTTTCACCCTACAAGAGAGTGGTATAGCCCCAAAGCAACATGGCGGCGATTCGGCAAGGACAAGTGGTGGAACATGTTTTGGTTTTTAGTTTGTACTTTTTTACGCAGTATTACGACTATCTGTACATTGATGACTTCTTTAAACAGCCAGGAAGCGTCAGAGCCACGTTTGGAGGCAGGTGGAAGTTTATGACTTATCAAAATTATGTAAGTAGACGCATAATTTTTCTACACGATTCTAACTTCGGTGTTGTTACTGAAGAATTAACTTTGTTCCTAGAAGAACATATTTATTTGCCCATCATGGAAGAAAATCATTAATCATATTATGATGTGCCAACACAAAATGCTAGTGCATCCAGTTTTCACCTTTTAAATATTTTGTTTCCATTTATTTACCTCTGAAGTGATTGGTCGAGTCCACTAAGATACTACCAAGATGGCGGCAACCGAAGCTAAAGAAGTTTTAGGAAAAGTCTGGCACTTTGTTTTGTTTGGACTGTGCTTATTTGTGCAGTATTACGACGTTTTATATGTGAATGATGTCTATGGATCTCCAGTACCCTTCAAATTGACTTTTGGAGGAAGGTGGAAGCTTTTGACAGTCTTAAACTTTGTAAGTATAAAATGTACTTATTTTGTCATGTCTCACTCAGTTGCTTGCTCTTAGATTTTGTTTTGGGCCAGTCTGTCTGTGTGTTTGTTTGTGTGTGTTGCTGTGATTCTCAATATATGTACTGCAACATTGCCATATTCTAGCCTCAATGCCACTATAATAATTTTCACAGGCGTTAGGACCATGAAGCAGTATAGGTAAATTGAAAAAAAAGCAGTATGGGTAAGGGGGTGAAGTCTGCCATCTTCTTGTTGCCTCTAACAACAAAGGTCTCAATGACCCAATAAGTTTACTTAGTAAATGCACTTTTAGTGTCCTTTAACCCTTTCACCTAGTGACCTTTTCACCTAGTGACCTTTTAACCTAGTGACCTTTACAACCAGTGACTGATTCACCTGTGACCTTTGCACCCTGTGACATTTCACCTGTGACCTTTGCAAATAAGGTAAATAAGTCATACAGTGATCATGTGCCATGGGGTCCAAGGCAGCAAGTTTTACTTCTCATGTGTTCTTACTTGTGTTGTACCTGTTTGAGGAGTATTACAACATGAAGTATGTGAGGCCTGTTACGTCTAAGATGCCAGGACTACAGTATCGCGCGGTGTTCTTTACCACCTGGAACCTTGTAAGTGGCAAAGTATTTTAAGATCTGTGCAGTAAATTGATTTGCTGAAAGTTAATCATTAATTGCTATGCTATGTAAAGAGCAAATGAGCAAAGATTGAGTGTAACAAGTCATTCGGTGTGATATAGCTGCTAGCTGCCGCCACGCCGTGTGCCTGCGAAGCTGGTGTGTTATGCCAAAGGGCAGTTATACCGGCTATACTGATACAGATATATATATACATGTATATTGAACCCAGTGTATTTACTTCTTGTATAGTCAGAACCCCTATGCACACCCCTTTATCAGATAACCCTGTGTAACGTTTGAACACCGAGACTTGCTTGATCAAATCCCCCTTGCAGTATCTTTCAATTCCTAATCTGTGTGCACAATTTGTATGTGCCAACTACCATCTGATAATACTGGTAGGACCTGGAAAAGACCTATACCTAAACAGATCACAATGGTTTCCACGATCGCTTGTTTTGTGCACATTGTGTGTTTCTGTGTGCACATATATAAACAGCTGTACTACGTGTGGTATATTTTACCACACTTTCCTCCAGAGGGACAGAGGCTGAGAGTGTCCAGCAAGCTAACTCAGTGGGCAGCTGTAAGTATTTAAATTCTTTATGAAGAGTTATAATGACTATTTTGTGGAAGGATTGACGTAACAGGTAAATTTCACCTTTTCAACCGTGAGATCAGACTGTTTGAACTTTGAACCACTCACACTGACTGAGAAGGACCCTGCTCTTTTCGATAAATGTGGTGGGATTTTTACGTGCTTAAGATATGGATCTCCTTAATTAAACAAGGGACCTAATGGTTTAACATCCTATCTGAGAGGATGTCACTAGCTAAAGCTAGGTACTCTTTCTAACCTGTGTCAAGTGAGAAAATGTCTTTTCCCAAAGACACATAGAGGCCTGTTAGGGATAATAAATTATGGTAACCCAAAACATTTGGATTCTGAGTCAACAACCCTAACCACCTTGCTGCCTTGATCATATATGATCTGTTAATCGTTTGCCAAAGGTGTTACTTTTTTACTTACTATATTATTAAAAGCATCCTTCGAACCCCATGCACACCCCCAAGCTTTGTAAATTCTTCAAAGGGGTTTAAGTAAGTAAAACAGAAATTCTTGAACCCCTTCTTCCGGTAGCCTCCTTGTGTCATTAGTTGTCTGATTCGAGAAACCCAAACGATATGGCTTCTACAGTTGGTGCCTTTGCTTGTTTCGTGCATGTGCTGTTCTTCTGTGTGTACGTGTATAAAGAACTGCACATCATGTGGTATGTTTCACCACATCTCCCTGGGACAGACACAATTTTGCAACAGTCTAGCAGGCTAACTGTGTGGAATACTGTAAGTATTGTATGCATGATAATCGTAATGTTTTGTTATCTGTTCTTGTTGAAGATTTTTTCAGTTCAAAGTATGAGTATGGGAAGTATTGTTTTGGGTGGCTGAGCTGTGGGTTTGTGTGTCTGTGTGTCTGGATAGAGTAGATTGACAACACATGGGTGGTGGAAGATCAACACATTTCTCAGCAATTTTGGAGCCAATAAACAGTTGTATGTGTTCGTTGAAATCTCAGACAATGTCTTATACTTTAGTAGCTACCCAGAAATCTTATTTGCTTGACAGAGTTCTAATTAGTTAATCATTTATGAGTCAACTTTTAACCTTTACTCGTATCAAACCAAGGCAGCCGTTTGTCACCACATCTCTTTTAGCTATGGGGTTAAAGCAGCAGGGAGAAGGTTAATAAAGTTAATCATTTACGGCTTTTCTAACCTACATGTGCATGCTTTGTACAATTGTACATTGAACCCCAATCAGTTAGTGCTCATTGCATCAATGCACTGACTGAATCCAATCTGAAATGTTTGAGTTCTTCGATCCCTAAATTGTATATATTGAAGTGTTTGAGCAAGCTACAAGTATGTAGCTTGCTCGTGTTGTATTTGAGAGGTTGAGAAAGTCGTTTTGAGGATACCAGAGAAAGTTTTACAGACCAAATGGCTTCTTCCGTTGCTGCCGTTGTTCCAACAGTACATGTTTTACTTCTGACTCTGTACATGTTTCAAGAGTTGTACGGGATGTTCTTTATACGGCCGTACTTAAAGGTGGACAGACTGTGGCTTCGGCGATCCACAGGTCTTACAGTGTGGACACTTGTGAGTATCTCAGAGGATTTCTTGTTTTTTTCCCATAATCAGTAGATGCCTACCTGCCAACGTTACGCTTAGGCCAGAATTGGCCCCTTGCTTCTCTTCTTCTACAGTCTTAATCAGTAGATATTCCTATAAAAATGGACTGAATGTATAGTAGGTCAATTCCATGAGTAGGTACAAGCTGTGTAAGACTGGACTGTATTGTTTGAACCACACACACCCTACTCTTTTCGATAAGTGTGGTGGGATCTTTTAAAGTGCTTGAGCTGTGACTTTCCTTCACTTTACAATGTACATGCAGTATCCATACTACTTATTATATGATAATAATTATATTGGTACCAGCAGTCATTTTCACCATTGAGTAAGGAAATAGGTGTACAATGCATTTCCCAAGAGTGCAATGTTGGGGCCTGCTGAGGATTTGAACCCAGAACCTTTAGATTATTTTCTAAGTTCGCAACACTAAACCACAAACCACCTTGCACATGATCTTGATTCTGACTTAAAATTCCTTTAAGCTACAGAATTGCATGTAGGAAGAAAAGTCTAATGTTTATTTTTACAACTGAATGTCTTTCCTGTCAGCAGTCTTTAATGGACTAAACAGCTGAAATGGTCAACCATTATTATACTGTGAACATACTGTTCTAATGGCACAAATTACACTTGGCTGTACACCCCTGCAATGTTGAGAAGTGGGACGGTCCATATCAAAGATGGCCGCCGCGGGTGTAGCTGTTAACCGCCGAAATGAGTCCTTAGCATGGTTCACAGAATTTATCATAGCGCAGTCAAAATCGGGAAAGCCAGGCTAAAATATATGTCGTTGTAATCCTTACAAGTCAGGGAACCTCGGGAAGTTCACTTGAAGATCACACTTGTACACAAAAACGAGCTTTGTAGCGTCAAAGTTGACTCATTTCCATTTTTCGGCGAGGTTTCCGCCATTGGATTTCCGTCAAAATACGCACCCTATGGGGGTTTCGCGGTATCTGGTTGCATCTGTTTCCGGGTCACGTCCAGCGACGTCATTACCCGGCGAAGGGCCGCTGCCAAGCTAAGGGCAGTGTACTGCGCAATACTCACCCTTTCGGGAAGAATGCTCAAGAATTATATATATGGCTCTTTTGCTTCAACTGAACGAGCCACTGACATGTATGCACATGTGTAAAAACGAGTACGCTAGCAATCATTCGATAGCCGATACATTTTGCCTGTATCGTTGCAAACACGTCGACGACAACACGACTTTCACCTGAATCACATTGCGCCCCGAAAATTACCTAATTTTTACCAAAATTGTTGTTAGACAGCATGAAGACAGTCCGACTTTAAAAATCTCAATCGTTGCAAAATCGTCTCCCGTGTATATAATTGCAATCATACTGGTAAAAGTCAGGCTTCTTCGGAGTGCATAGAAGTGTATAACTGATATTGTCGCCCAGCCCATATAGGCTGATAGGACACCATGCATGAGTACGTGGGATACAGAAATCACATGCATGATTTAAACATAAGTATAAAATAATCATCAACTAGAAAGGTGACCTTTGCAAAGCCGTTACGGTTTCACAACTTCTTCCAAAAATTGGCGAGTACCCTTTCTCGCAAAGGCGATTATGGTCTGCCCTCCGTGTCTATCATATAAATGATACACGCAAAAGTCGGGTCGTCTTCGAAGTACCTTATGTATCATTTCAATGATACGTGTAACTACCTAGGTTTTCCAAATTCGGACTGACTTCCAATATAGTAACCCCACTATCATATCTACGCATGTGTGAGACGGGTACACTGTACCAGCAATCATTTGATAGCCAATAGAAGAGTTACCACTTTGAAGAAGAATTGGCTTTTACAAAGCTGTGCCTTTAAGGTTTCACTGTCTACATGTAGTATTTTTTGCATCGATTTAGGTTAGTCACATGGTCTTCAAGGTGAAAAGGTAAACTTCAGGTATTCTGGCACCTATTTAGGCTTTTTCAAAAGTTGGACTGACTTATGACTTCCGGGTGTTTCATTGTAATGATATAAGTGATAAACTCGCAATACCTTCTGGTTGTACCAGCGCAATTTATTATTTTTTAATGATACAACAGGTCAACTATAAACTAGATCTACAATCATCACAATATTTCCTAAGAGGAGCCTGTCTTAAAGTCTAAAGTCATATTGTATACACGTGTTTATACATTTCGTACATTTCACGGTTTCTCATTAATCTTGCAACTTAAATAAATCCTGTATGCATACATTATATACATATGCTTATTCAAAAGCATATTGTCTGAAATTCTAGGTGTCAAACCCATATGGTATCTGCATCAATTACTAGTATTGTGTTTATATATACATGTTATGAATTACACTTTGTCAAAGTCAATTACGTCCTGTATGTGTAGTTACATTTTGTGTGAAATACAAGGTGTCAAAGGACGACCCGACGTTTACGTGTATCATTTATATGATAGACACGGAGGGCAGACCCTAATATACTCGCCAAAGCGTAATTGGATTTTTGGGAAGAAGTTGCGAAACCTTATTGGCGCGGCTTTTTAAGAGCCAAGTGGTAACTCTTCTATTAGCTATTTAAATGATTGCTGGTACAGTGTACCCGTCTCACACATGCGTAGATATGATAGTGTGGTTATTGGAAGTCAGTCCGACTTTGGAAAACCTAGGTAGTTACACGTATCATTGAAATGATACAAAAAGCACTCCGAGGACGACCCGGCGTTTACGTGTATCATTTATATGATAGACACGGAGGGCAGACCCTAATATACTCGCCAAAGCGTAATTGGATTTATGGGAAGAAGTTGCGAAACCTTATGGCGCGGCTTTTTAAGAGCTTTTTTCATGAAATTTCACTCCGCAACGTTTCCTTCGCTCTTCGGCGTGTAATATACTAGTAACCGAACCTCGTAAGCCGTGACCCGGAAGTAGATGGGATTAGCGGTATCACGGAAACCCCCATACAGTTCGAAAACCTACGCCAAAATGAGTTCTTAGCTAGCGAATAAAGGTCAACTTTGACGCTACAAAGCTCGTTTTGTGTACAAGTGTGATCTTCAAGTGAACTTCCCAAGGTTCCCTGACTTGTAAGGATTACAACGACATATATTTTAGCCTGGCTTTCCCGATTCTGACTGTGCTATGATAAATTCTGTGAACCATGCTAAGGACTCATTTCGGCGGTTAACAGTAGCAGCTGTGCATGTACTGTTGTTGTCCGTATACAGCTGCGTACAGCAGTACGACTATCTGTACCTGCTGCGTACGCCGTATCTGCCCGACCGACAGCGTATCGGGGGGCCGTGGAAATATCTAACTTATATCAACTGCGTAAGTTACTGTCATATTTTGCACTGTTTTCAACATAGATTAAACCATCTTAAAGGTAAGGTTGATAATAATTATATATTATATCTGCAGAATTATCTTATACTAAAGTTTCTGGTGTTATATTGTATTGTGTCAAAGGTGCAAACATATATTTACATGTATATATAAATCTAGTTTATCATTATCTTAATGATAGTGTAATTGCCTGGCCAATTGTATCCATTTCAAACATATGTTACCCATTTGCTTATATCATAATCAAGGTAAAATATTTCAATCATTTTGTCTGATAGAATAGTTTTTTCAATGGGGAGAGCTTCAAGTCTAGTAATATGTAATAGATTATTGTAACTCAGCACACTATGTATCGGCCCACCTAATTACAGTCTATTGATTTATTGGCCCGACACCTACATTGTACATGTACTAGTGAAGCATAGAACTCAGGTCACCTTTTACTGTAATTGAAGCAAACATCATAAAAATTCCTGGGTTTTGCCTAATCACAGTACAGTAGAGATACTAGGAGCTTACATGATCTGGTGTAACCAGGCAGTACTAATGTGCATGTATTTGAAAACCAGCATAACACTAACAGACAGCCATTGTGCAGGCTGACATATACATGTATACTAAGTTAACAGTACCCATGGGACTTACTGCACCTGCTCGAAATTTTCACCATGATTTTACAGGATATGGAAGTTGATATTTATGTGTGATTACTTGATAGTTTGGTTTGTCTTGTCTTTCCTTACGATTTTAAAAATGATTTAGCTTGCCTTAAGGGTACAAGTTGGTCACTGTGTACACTGTCAAACACCGTTAAACATAATACAATAGTGGGTTATTCATATGCTAATTGTGTAATGTGACCTGACTAGTGTCAGGGTTGTTGACACACTTAAGAACAGTTAGCTTAGCTTTCACTGGGCCTTAATTTCTCACTAAGGGGTTATTAAAATTGGTTGATAGTAGGGTGAATTATTGGATAGGAGAATGAGCCCACTGTTTAAGGGTTTATGATTACAGGACTAGTATATATTTTCTCCTTAGCTTGTACTGCATTTAGGAAACCAAATATGGTGGCTATTGACTCCCCTATTTGGCTACATTTTGACACCAGACTGGATTTGCAAGAAAAAGACTAGGATATACTAAATAAATCATCTCAATGTGGTGTGATGACTAATTTATTTCCAAAATGTTTGTTTTCCTGGCTCAGTCGTAATGGCTCCCAATGTTGAGTCGTTCCGGGCCTGGCTGGCGGCCTGACCGCCTTAGCCCTGGCCTCTTCTCTCCCCTAACAGCACCCCTTGCTGGGTTATTCGGGGGTATTCAATATGATGATGTTTGTTTGTGTGTGTTTCCAGATGGCGCACACTGTGTTCTTCAGCAGCTGTGTACTGGCAGACTTCATAGAGGGGGTTCTGGGTAAAAAAGCTGCCGGGCTGAGAAAAGTGCAGGACTATGTACTGGTCTCTATACTGTTCCCCATGAGCATGGTGAGTTCATAGTTCACAGGTCATAGGTAATGGGTAAAAGGTTATAGGTGATACAGGACTACGTACTGGCCTCTATACTGTTCCCTATGAGCATGGTGAGTTCATACATGTAGTTCACGTACAGATCATATACATGTAGGTAAAATTGGATGTACTAGCCTTGAGTGTGCTGTTTCCTATGCACATACATACTGTTCACAGGTTATATTATTAGTAATAGGGGATCATGAGGTAGTATAGGACTTAAGTACGTAGTGGTAGCGGATCTTGGGGAGCGGCCAAAGCGGACATTTTTGCACTTAAGTCCCCAGCCTAGAGTCCAGCCTTCTTAAAGAAGGCTGGACTCTAGGCTGGGGACTTAAGTGCAAAAATGTGGTGCCAAAAGCTACATTAGGAGACTGAGTGAAGGCTAATATTGTGCATTCTTGTAGTGTTACCCTCATTTTGGGTGCCTGACCAGTTGAAGGGCTGCTAGAACTTCATTAGAAGCATAGTCGGACTATACTGTCCAATTGTAATTTATGCACTGCCTTCATGAGAGCTCTTATACTAGTAATCCTCCCCTTGTTCTGCAGATTGTGATGGTTGTGTTCTGGGGGATCTATGCTGTGGATCGCGAGCTGATCTTCCCGGCAAGCCTGGATCACGTGATCCCACCCTGGATCAACCATGTGTGGGTAAGTCTTCGGTGTGCTTCTTGTCTTGGTAAAAGATGAATGAACAAATGAATGAATGACTAAATAGATGAATGAATGAACAAATGAATGAATGACTAAATAGATGAATGAATGAACAAATGACTGAATAGAATATGAAATAATGAATGGTTAATGAATGAATGGTTTGCAGCCATTTTGCTGAAGTGGGGATTTCATGACAATACTTCGTACTTTCTAAAGGACAATGGTATAGCATTTACATTCATGACACATGTATATATTAAGGATACTCTGAGCCAGAAACTTGAAGTTCAGTTTGTATATTCTAGAAAGGATAAGTTGAAGACACCCAAACTAAATTTTAGGGCAGTAAAAGTGGATTTCCAAAGTCAATTCGTTGGTCATTTTTTTTTAAATAATGTGCCTGCCTTTAATGTTTATTGCTGTCCCCAGCACACGACCATAGTGCCTGTGTTACTGCTGGAGATGTACATGGTTCATCACAAGTACCCGTCCCGCCGTGCAGGCCTCACCGGAGCGATCACCCTTGGGCTCGTTTACCTTACATGGTGAGGACCCTTCTCTTTTCCAGCATCTCATATTGAGAACAACAAAGTGACAATGGCCTAGAGTCAATTCAAGGTGACTGTAGTGTGATCTAAGCATCAGGAGCTTGAACAATAATGTCTTATGTTTTAGTTTTGATTAAATTTTTAAAAACAAAAAGTAATAAAACCACTTGGCCCACAATAAATATAGTTCTGAAATTAAATGTTTTATTCAACATTATATAGAAAAATGGATGGATGGATGAATGGATTTTCTACATAATAATATTATTCCTTCCTTCTAACACTCTCAGAACCATATGACAGTGTGTGGTAGATTCTGTCTTTGCAATTCACTCCTGACATCATCACACTTTTGCTTCCAGTAAATCAGTGCAGTGGATCATACAAAGGTTCCTTCTTGTGTTGGAACAAAGCTTCATCATTGATTTTCATCATTGATGAATTGAACTTCATCAAATATTTCTTCCTTGCTCCTCTACAGGATCCTGATTGTGGCTAAGGTCGGAGGGTTCTGGGTCTATCCCTTCATGGCAGTGATGACTGGGTTCCAGTTTGTCCTGTTCTGCTGCTTCACAGCTGCTATAGGCTGTGTGTTCTACCTCATGGGGGAGCTCTGCAACAATGTCTTCTGGGGTACGCTCTTATTCCTTCTAATAGATATATTGATAATGGACTTGAGCTTGGTTTATTGATGGAGGTATTATAATACTTCCATGTTTTATTGTTTCTTCTGGGGTATGGTCTTATTGTTCAAATATGTTATGACATCCAACCACTACAATGTAAATGAAAAACTATGTAAATTTGTTCATGCATGTTTCAAAAATAGAGAGGAGATCCTGTAGATATAGCTATGTAACACTTGTTCCTTCTACCTTTGTACCTCTGTTATCTAACATAGTTTCACAGTTCAGAACTTTCTTACTAGTACCTTGACATTTCAAAATACATGGTCAGCAAGTGTAGACGCCTATCGTATTGGTCAAGGTACAATAGATTTGAAGTTACGACGTGGTAAAAAAGTACATTTACCATTTTATTATCAAGTACTTAATAGAGACAACTTGTTATATATTACTTGGCTTATTGCGTATAACATTGTTTTTTCTTTTGTTTTTTAGGACCACGAGAAACACCAAGAAAGCAGAAGAAAAGAGCATGATGAATGATATAATTAGTCGCAAAAAACATTCTTAAGAATAATGAATAGCTTATAATGTTGTTCTCCATTTTCAGGGAAGAACGGAAGGTTTTAGTTTTTATTGTTGTATGTCTTTATTGAAAATAATTTGTATGAACAGAATATCATAATAGGAACTGGTTTGTGACATTTAGAAAAATGTTACTATCATGACACCCAAATTTTACCACAGTTTCTAATTTTTTTATCACACTACTTCTTACAGGTTGTCATTTTCATAGTGTTCTGTTTTTGTTGATGTAAATGTCCCCATTTTCTTTTATGTTTTCTGACAAGATAGCTGCGTGTATCAGCAACCATACTGAAGCTACAACAGGCATATCTATGCAAAAATTTCTCATTTTTAAACTTAGCAAAAACTTCTCATTTTTAAACTTAGCGAACTCAGGTACATAACTGGTGTATTTAGAGATGGAATTTCTGTTATTTGTGTTGATTTTGAAATTTTTGTAACCTTGTCTCATTGTTCATATGGGATGGTTTTATTAAGGTGGTTCATGAATAAATATAGGCTGAAACAAACAAACAAATCAAAGATACTAAAATTAAAAAGTGAATGTTTATTTCAAGGTGTTACAATGGAGAAGTATCGTGATCAGATGTACATTTCAATAGAAATATAAAAAATAACACAAACTCCAATGTAAAGAATGAAAACCACAGTTACTATACACTTCTGCCTATTTATAAGCTTGCACCTTAAGTTAACAACGGAGAAACGCAATATGAACATGCTTAGTACAAATAACATACTTGTACTACAAATATAAATGAACACTTTTTACCATATTAAAAAAAATGCATCATAATGCTATCTGCTACCTACAACATACACACAAAAAGAGACTTAGTCTTCGTGTTGTGATCAAGAATTTCGTAAATAAATGGAGATCTAAAGTCATTATACTTCATGTTGTGTGTTTAGGTAATTGTGTAAAAATATTACGCACTTTATTTGTATCTTGTGGTTCTAATTATTTCACATCATAAGTCATTCTTTTACAAACAACCATCAATGAAAGAAAGCAAAACAAACAACAAAAAACCCTTTCATTAAATACCAAAAACTAAATAGAATTCTAGCCAGTTGGTCACAAAACATTGACTTAAAGTTTGTCATAGTTGGCAGTGTATTTCACTCATTGTGAGAAGTGAACTTTCTACAATCAGCTCCAAGTGTGTCTGTTTTTCCGTTTCATGGCAAAATCTGTGAAATCATTCAGATTCCCTGAGGCCATGAATGATGATGGCATTGGATGGATGGAGGGAGGTAGAGCAGTCTCTACCAGACTACCTACGCTGGCTATATATATATAGGAGAATATTTGCCATGGGAGTTTGGCCGTCTTGTAGGTTTGACTGGACGCGCGCTTCGGAGGGAAAGAAACTACCTCCCTGCGGCTGGACTCCCTTGGCCAATTTTACTCTCTTTTTGCGGAATTCTACAATCCGTATTCCCGTAGAAAGGCCTGGTGGAGGCTACAGGTAGAGAAGGATGGATGGATGGAGGGGTGGGTGGATGAAACTGGACTTTGTGGAAGGATGAGGCTTCATTTTTACATCTCTCCATTTTCTTGTTTCACTCACTACTTGGCCGTCATGCTGTGAGAAATGATATGGAGAAACTATCAAGCTTGTGATACATGTAGTTTCCAATTTCTAGCAGTAAACAATTTCATTAATGTTAAAAAGACAGCGAGAGTACTTTAGTACTTTAAAGAACCCACTCTAATGATGAAGTTTTAGTAGGTGTTAGTATCATTGCCAGCTATGGGAATTTAAAAAAAAAATGTTTCTAAATTACAAAATGCGTAGCATTTACGCATTGTTAGAGTCTACCAAAAGCCAAGTAAGCACAAAATAATGCAGAATAGCTCTAAACTTGATAGAGTGTTTAAAACACCATATGTAAAACGTAGTATAAGTTAGCGTTTGTTATAACAGTAAGAAGCGTTTTTTTTAACCTGCATCATTTTCATGCTTACCTGACATTATTAGCAGTCTCAGCAACTGAAAAAGGACAGAAAGAAATCAAAAAGGAAAACAAGTTTAAAACGTGTTGCAATTTTCTTGGTATCCACATCGTATTACTTAATGCCCACAGCACATAATTAAATTGAAAATAACAATACAGATAAGAAAATTATATATAATATAAAAATTTACCGTACCAAAACAAGCTACCAGGGGGCCAAAAATTAATTATTTTGAGGTCTGATTAAGAGCTACGTACCCAACTACAAAGTATCATGACAATACGTACATTGCTTCTTGGTTTGTCGTGCTACAATAAAACAAGAACACACACAAACAACGTACACACACACTCAGACATACACACACACACACACACACACACTCACACTCAGACACACACAAACACACACACATACATACAAAATAATATACTACCAAAACAGTTCTTACTGGTAAAGGTAATAAATAACAAAAATAAAGAATATATGCACACCTCTTGCGACCCTGTTTTTGGCTGTAACAGCGCGGGTGATGTACCAGATCATGTTGGTCGTCATCAGGCCGACACAGATGCTGCCCATGATCATGCCGGGCCACTGGTAACCTGAAACATACCGGAAGTTGTTTTCCCTTTTTTTCTTTGCATACCAATCAGTAGTTCTTGCTTTTAAACCTGCATTTTTGCACAAGTTCTCTGGTGTCACAGACGGAAGGTAGTGGATGCTTCCTGAAACGTCTGACCGCTTCCAAAATCATCTCTAGTTGCTTGAGGAACAATTTTGGCGCATCTTATTACCTGGATGTCTAACCTTCACCGACATACGGTAAGGTGGTTTTAGGGGTTCTGAATAGGAATCATAGACATTGGGTTCGAATCCCATTCGTACAAAACATTTTTATCCATGCTCAGGCATGGCTTGGAAAAAAAAATACCAGTTACGTCGTTTAAGGTAAGACAGGTTGAGCATTATGTTATAGAAACTAAGTCGAGCATCTGTGAATAGATTCCCTATACAGTCAAGCATTTTAGATACCATCCGCTATCTTTTAGTGACTGAGAATGTGTCTTGAACATACCATGTACTGAAATATTTAAACAGAAACCGAGGTAGTCAAATGGAATGATCGATGTTACATGTAACAGAAACTAAACGAACTAAAAAAACAGTTACTCAAGCGACTGGATTTAAGCGAACTTGATTTCTTTGAAAACGTTTGGTTTCGAATTTCGGGTTCCACGTGTTGTTGGTTAGCCTCTACCAGACTTCGGGAGGCGGCAAAATGTTTTCTCCCAGCAGACAAACTCCCCCGGCATGTTATCTCTCTATTGCCCAATTTCTACTCTTTCCAGCCGCCTCCCGAAGTATGGTAGAGGCTAGTTGTTGGTTACTAACTCTTTTTTTAGCAACACAATGGATTTGATGGTTACCTGGTGTGACGTTCGTAGCGGCAGTGATGGTCCCTGAGATGGCGGGCATCACCCCGCAGGAGCACAGCAGGGACAGGGTGGTGTACGGCAGGTCACGCCCGGCTTTGCAGTCAGCTGAAAAATACATTCATTCATTTTTTCTTTATTTCTTTATTTTTTTTCTTAAAACCTACTCTCCAAGCAGAAGTTTGGGCATTGGGGGTATTTTTAGCATTGTTTTTAGGCTTTTTTTATCGGGTTTTCTCTTTTGCACTGAAATGGTTGGGTTTGGTGGGAAAAAAAAATTCAGTATAAAAGAGAAAACCCGATAAAAAAACCTAAAAACAATGCCAGAAGTACCCCCAAAACCCAAACTTCTGCTTGGAGAGTAGTAAAAACCCATATAACACATATACAATACATCATTAAAATAATACAAAAACTCTACAGACATACAAATAAAACAGGAAGAAACCTGAATGAAATACATGTAGACATGCAAACAACACTAAGGTTGTAGTAGTAGTAGTAGTAGTAGGAGTAAACTGGTTAATTGATAGCAAAAAGGCTCCAATATTTTCTTAATACTGACTATAAATGTGATTGTAAATGTCTATTATCTGTATGTAATTGATGTTGTAGCCCTGGAAGATTATCTCAATAAACTTAACTAAACTAAATTTCATATCCATGTCCTTTTGGTTCTCTAAACTAAACTAAACTAAGCTAACCTTCTGTTCTCTAAACTAAAACTAAACTAAACTAAGCTAAACTTCCTATCCATGTCGTTTGGTACTGTTCTGTGCTCCTTACGTGTTCCGATGTATTTCTTGGATTTGAATCCACCAAAAGCGGCGAAGAAAAACAGCGCTGCCACAATGCTACCCTGGATCATGATGGTATTAAATCCTTCCTGTTGGCCTGGAATAAAATAGAAATAAAATAATGCTTAATTTTTCAGGGACTGCAAACTTTCAAGCCTTTGTTTACGTTAGTAAGATTACACGTTCTGAGCTAGGGGAGTCAGCCTATATTAATGAAAATTAAATTGAAATTAAAAATAAAATGATGATAATAAAACCTAATAATAATAAAAGATACTTCTTGTATGTCATATGGATGTTGTTATGATATAGACCCCGTTAATGAAATGAACAATATTTTTGATAGAAAAAATCTACTCACTGCTTCCTCCAAGAAGAGGTGCCATAGTGAGCGCGGCTCCTGCGATGAGCATCCCGAACAGCGGCCCGATACTCGCCACATGCTTCACCACACCGTAGCTCACTGATAAAGGGTGGAAGGACAAGATTGTCAGAAAAGTTTCGTGCGAATTAGAATATAAACAGGCAGCCACGATCAAATACGAAAGAAAGTTACTGTACCAAAAGTACCAAAAATGTAGTCCAATTTCCTCTGGTGCAAAAATTGCCGGAGTCTTTTGGACATGATATTTTCTTACATAAAGTTAGTAAGGACATGGACATGTTTTAAAGAATGTTATGCAATTTTGTGAGCCACGTGGTTGAAATGTAATGAACAAATAAAACAAAAAAAAAAACATAGGAAGGCCATTTTCTTCTCTAAGATCTTTGGTTATTCGAACAAGAACAAAAAAAAACTTACAGCATGCGTCTGCGACGAGAATAGTGAGCATGAGAATGATTGCCCAGATGGAGCTTGCCTCAAACACCATCACGACTTCGTACCGCATCTTGGTCATGGGAGGGGTGGTCGGGGCTGCAGTAGAACCTCCGGCTGCTGCAGTGCTGGGGGCTGCAGATGTTTGTGCAGATGTGCCTGTAAATAGATTATAAATAGAAAATTATAGAAGATTATAAATACAATAGATCAATAGTATTATCTTTTTATAATTAGTAAGTGGATGGTTATGATAAATTAACAGCAGGTTCCAACAAGGTAACGAGAAAAGAATTTTTCTGGTCATTTTTTCTTACTCTCGTTATAATACTACAGACCAACATTGATAGTATGGAAGTAAAAATCTACATCACTTTTATTCTGACCCTACATACTTTTAGAATATTTGCCTATGAATGTGTATTTTAACAGACACGACCTAACTGAGTTCGAGGCACCACCCCTTACACCAACATTCCTTCTCGACTCTCAGGCACCTTAAAAGTTTATTCTGACACTACCCAGTTTTCGAATATTTGCTGATGCATGAGTTCGAGGCACCACCCCCTCTACCAACATTCCTTCTTGACTTTCAAGCACCTACAAGTTAATTCTGACACTACCTAGTTTCCGAATATTTGCTGCTGCATGCGTGTTTGATTAAACAAAGAGGCGACCTGGCTAAGTTAAAGGTGCCACCCTCTGTCCCAACATTCCTTCTCGACTCTCAAGCAACTTAAAAGTTAATTCTGACACTACCTAGTATTCGACTATTTGCTGCATGCGTGTTCGATTGAACAAAGAAGCGACCTGGCTAAGTTAAAGGTGCCAACCCCTATACCAACATTCATTCTCGACTGTCAAGCATTGTCCTAGTTTTCATGTCACCTGTGACTTATGATTGTCTTGCCCTAGATACCTTCTCTTGTCTTCGTTTCTTTTAGCGGGTAACCTGATATTATTCAGATTAACAGACTTGCAGGCGTGTCAGGTTGTTTTGAATGGGGTGTATTTATCTTTAATGACGCGTTCTACGGGTCAGTGAAACACACACGGCAGGTGATCCCTCACTGACGCAGGGAACAAAACACCCGTCCGACCGGTTGCAAACATTTTTACTTTTCACTCAGATAAATTTTGATTTAAAGAGTTAATTTTGATTTATTTAATAAATAGGTGTATTGGCATTTTTCTTATGTACCAGATGAGTCTAAAAGCTTGTCATTGTTTTATCAAAAAATGTTAAAGATAACTTTATTTTTTGCTATGCAGCGTTAGAGAGTCAAGAGATTTTCCCAAAATGTCTTCATCTGCCTACAGTTGTGGAGAGTAGACAGTCGTTATGTACTTGTAATTATAAGTCATTCATAAACTGTAAACCTCGACCTTTCCCTTTTTGTGTAGTTTCTCAGGCGCAAGTAATATTGTAAAGTAAACGCATTATTTGCACACTTGGCACTTTGTTTGCTGAGCCAACTCACTGTTTTGGATACGGGTTGTATTTACAAGGAATTTCACTTATGTTTAAGGTCAGTCTGTAGAGAAAGTAGGATTTCCAGCACTTCCATTTAATTCGACTTCACGTTTTTACAGTAGAAATTTTATAGGAAGAAGTTGAAATTCGGGAAGGGTTTTCTCTCTCCAATACTAAATGGTTAGTGATTAATTGAAGGTAAACACTACTTGCGAAATCACACCTACCCTGACCCTTATTAGCCTTCTACAGAATGTTGCCCTCTCCTGGACTTGGCCCTGCTTCGTCGGTCTCGGAATGTTTTGGCTTTTTTTTTTTTTCTTTTTTTTTCAGAGGGAACACCAACCTAGATCTTGGGCCTGTTGTATCTAGTCTCCACCATACTCAGACACTGTTCAGGCATAGAACTAGGTAGGTACAATTCTGAACGTAAAAGGGTCAACTGTACACTAGCCAGCTCTTCGGCACCGAAGCCAACATGCCCCGAAGGATATCCTGCCCCAGTTCACGAGAAGAACATTCTCGGCTTGTTCTCCATACTGCTATAAAGTCATTGCCCGATCGACCATCGCTGTACCTTGACTTGAAACTGAATACTACTAACATTCAAACGAGGCAACAAAAGACATGCCTCTGAAAAGGCAGACTTTACCGACGCCACACACAGCTTTCCTCGGCTCTCTGAGGCCCTAGAGGCCGCCGGGACAGCGCAACCTCCCCCTTTATTTAGTTGAAGAACGACTACTAGTACCTTGCTGGCTGGTATGTGCGAAGAAGCGTAACATCTCCTTGAATGGACCCCAATTGTGTTTTCTACTCACAAGGCAGATTCTGAAATCCTTCCAATCTTCTTGTACAGTTGTTACAATCTTTACAAACTTTAGATAGGTTATTTAGGCATCGGGTGCTCTCCCTAAGATACATGTATTTCAATCCCTTCGCCTGGATACGATCGATAGAATGTAGACAACTCAAGGACATTTGCGGTGACATAAAAGATGGCGGATCCGGATGTCAACTAGAACAAGTGTATTTAGATCTTCAAATGTCTAGTCTGTCAGTCGAATCTGTCGTGCGAATTTTCCTCTGCACGATTTTTCAGCTACTCTATGACAGAAACTGTCCTTTATATTGACCTACGACAATCTTTTCTGTCACAAAAAAGCTGGATTTGCTACGATGCGCCCACAACAGTGACAACTGTCCTACGAATGTCACCAATATTTGACCAGTTGCTGTTTACTACTCACCGGTAAAGAACGCCAGCAGTACCACCAGTGCTGCCGTCGCCAGGAAGGTAGAACGTAACCTGTTGGCCATTTTTTGTCCTCTCAACTGGTCGTAGATTCTCAGCAAGCTTGGTAGTTCCTTCTGTCGCCTTGCGTGCGAGGTTTTGAGCTGTCAGATACGGAAAGCTGTTGGGCAGGTTGTTATGTACCTGCACAACACGCGACCAGTAGGGCGTTAAACATGTAAAATACCGTATGACGCTGACTCACCAAGCCACGCCCACAGTTCGATTTTCGCCAAATACGTCACTTTGACAGGCGGTTGGCATGGCGACGCGCGGATAATGTTTCATCCTGCAGATCTTCGATACGTAGTTGCCAGGACAACGCCCGGATAAGGTTTCATCCTGCAGGTCTTTGATTGGTGGTTGCCAGGACGACACCCGGATCGGGTTTCCTCAATGACGGGTTGACAGTCCAGTTTGCCGCTGAAAGACCTGAGATGCCCTTTCACCTACATACTAGTATATAGACCAGAAAAACTTGCGAGGCGAAAGGTTGTTTGAAAAAAAGAAGAAGCTATAATTGTTTTCTAATAGATCGGCGATCTTTTGATACACTGCTCGAGGGAGTCTGTAAAGATTACAAGGTAAAAATTACGTGGCTACAATGGGTATTGTCAATGTGAGCCTATATTGCTTAGCCTCGGTTAACAATTCAGTATACTTCTGTATATTTCGAAGCCCATGTTAGTCAATAACTTTGTCAAATCACTAATGGCTGTTGTGAAAAATGGTGATTATACATGTGGTACCAGTTTATAAAACAGTTGAAGTCCTTCGCTTAGACACGTTTAATGAAACACACACAAACACACACAAAAACATTCCAAAACAGATTTATATAACTGAATTGTTTGCAACCTATTGCAAGTTCTAATTGAAAACAGACATTGACAAGAACAATGAGTACATAATGTATTGTGTCGTGGTATAAAATTATATGCTAACATGAAGTTCTACGATCTACTAATCTAACTTTTTATGTCTGGTTAAAACTAATAACGTACGTATACAAGATAAAGAGTGGATATGTAATACATTAAGAAAAATATGGTAACTACTATTCCATTATAATATACTAATCTAGTCAAGCTACTTGTAATGGATCCATGGATGGATGGATGGATGGATGGATGGATGGATGGATGGGTGGGTGGATGGATGGATGGATGGATGGGTGGATGGATGGATGGATGGATGGATGGATGGATGGATGGATGGGTGGGTGGGTGGATGGATGGATGGATGGGTGGGTGGATGGGTGGGTGGAATAGATGGATGGGTACTGGATGAAAATGGAGTTTGTGCGAACGATGAGGCTTCTTTTTTCACGTCTCTTTTCCACCTTCTTGGCTCACTCAGTACTTGGCCGCCATGCTGTAAAAATAGAATGGAACAACGATCAAATTTGTGATACTTGCCAATCGCTAACCGAAAAACACTTTAGCTGGTTGATCAACGTAAGACCCAGCGACCAACACTTTGAACAACCAACTCTTCTAATGAAGTTTGAATCGGTATCAGTTACCATTGCCAGGTACAAGAATTTTAACAATTTTATGCTCACCTGACATCATTCGAAGTCTCAGCAACTGAAAAAGAAAAGATATTAATTAATCGAAAACAAATTTTAAAATGCATGAACATGCGCTTGGCATATGGTGTTTCTTAACACACTCAGCACACACATAAATTAATGAAATAATAATTAGATAAATAAGTATTAGAAATGAAGAAAAGAAGAATATAGAAGAACTTAATTGACACAACAAAAGTTCAGCGACTTTCCTAAGATCTAAAACTACACGTAGACATACAGACAAATACATGGGTAGAGCGAAATTAAGCTACGTACAAAACAATAGATGAGTCAACTAATACTACTTCTTCTAAGGTCTGAACATTCTTTGTTATATTTACCTATCTGTACACAGTAAGGGTCAAATGGATGAAATTGAATTTATCTATAGCATGAATAACATACCTTTGGCGACCCTGTTTTTGGTCGAGACACGGGTGATGTACCAGATCATGATGGAGGTCATCAGCCCGATACAGATGCTGCCCATGATAATGCCGGGCCACTGGTAACCTGGAACATACAGTATTTATTTATTTATTTATCTTAAAAACAGTTGGGTGGTACTTTTAGTTTAGGACAACTGATTTCCAAGGTAGCTGGTTGCTTAGAAGGTTTGTTTGGTACAAAAAGAATAATCATAAGGGATGTATACATCGCCTGTCTCGTCTGTTGTAATTTGTAATTTGTGCACGCAAACTTTCTGACTATCATTCTATCTTGTCCATGGAGTGGCCTAGTCTCGCGCTCCCGAGACTTGTATCGGTCTGCATGTCTCGCGCTCTCGCGTGAACAAGATGGACTGGTAGTCATTGAAAATTTGGAGGTTAGTACTCTTACTCTTCAAAAACCTGTCACTGCTAAAAGAATCCTCTAGTAACTCTATATGTCTCTTCTCTTCCAGTTCTCATCAATACACCGTTAACATACCTGTCTCCAAGTCATATTACAACAACAGCTTCTTTCCCCGGACTGCAAAATTATGGAACTCTCTTCCAAACAGCTGCTTTCCGTCCGATTACAATCCACAAAGCTTCAAAACAAAGGTCCACCGCCATCTCCTGACATAGCTACAATATACTCCCTTAAGTACCTCTAGCTCTATGCCTAGAAGTGGCCAAATATAATTGGCCTTGCATTGAGCGATACCGTTAAAAAAAATGTATCTATACGTGGCAAAGGAATCTCTTCAAAGAATTTTAAATGTTCACCTTCTGCCACGCTGAGTGCTGAGATGCAGGTCCCTGCGATGGCGGGCATGAGTCCACAGGTCAGCAACAGGGAGATGGTGCCAACCGGTAGGAGGCGCTTTTCGGGGTCAGCTGAAAATACACATCAAATTTTAAGAATGAAATCAACTTTATTGCAAGTACTATGTTCACCAAACTACTGACACATTTGATGCCAGACGCAAAAAAATTATGCTAGTCCTTTATTTTTTATTAATATGCTAAACACCAACAACAACAGCATAATACAATGTCTTCTGAGGTCATATTGTCAGTACAGAAATTATTTTTTAAATGTATATAAGATATATATAGTAACAAGCCCTTTCAGCTCTGCTCTGCCGCTTGCTACATAATGTAACCCAACACTACAGAGTGTCTTCTACAGCACCAGTTACCATGGCGACAGCCGTCTGGTCAAGGTCATTGACTCGTTGTCCTTATCCGTTTGGAACGGAAAAGGAGGAAGGGAAAGGGGGTAAAACAATTTTCTTATTGCGAATGTTAACAGGGTATAGATTGTGATACTTTTCGTACCAGTATCCTTCTTTGACTTGAATCCAGCAAAGGCGGCGAAGAAGCTCAGCACGGCCACGACGCTGCTCTGGATCATAATGACCATAAATCCCCCTTGCTTGCCTAAAAAAAAGAAAAAAAATGCTTATTTCTTCATGGGCAACAATCTTTCAACCAAAAGTTGGACCAAAAGTTTTAACTTTAAACATGTAACTACCAACACAAATAAACTTTCATGATGAGACAGAAATTTACTTACTGTCTCCTCCGAGTAGCGGTGCCATAGTGAGCGCCGCCCCGGCTAGCAGCATGTTGAAGAGCGGCCCGATACTCGCCACATGCATCACCACGCTGTAGCTCACTGACAAAGGGAAGGACAAGAATGTCAGACGTTTCCTTAAATTAGACAAAAAGAAATTCATTTACAATATCAATTAAGAAAGCTACAGTATCAAAAGTGGCTCAAATTCCTGCCTACTGCCTGCACAGGCCAGGTACTGGCCCCTTGCTCCCCTCTGGCAGGTACTTCCATCCAGCTCTATCAAGGGCAATAGTCTCTGCTTCCCTTAGGGTAATCCCTGAGTCACTCTTGATCTGGTCTTTCCACCTCTTGGGTTCCACGGGTGTTCATGATTTGTGTTAATGAAATATTTACGAGAAAAACTTACTGCACGCGTCTGCCACAAGAATGGTCAGCATGAGGATGGTGGTCCAGATGGAAATTGACTCGTACACCAGCACGACTTCGTAACGCATGTCGGTGCTGTTTGTAGCGGCCCCCGTCACGGCGGGAGTGGTCGGGGCTGCAGTTGTTTGCGCCGAGGCTGTGCCTGTAAATGAATCGATACATCGATAACTAAATATTTTTATTCAGCATATAGGGGGGATTCATTCTAACCACCATCTCGCACACGCAGTCATCCCTCAGTAAGACATTTGGAGCCGCATAGTTCCCGTTTAGAACTTTTATTCAGTCAGTCACACATAGTGACACATTGTGTGTAAAAGTTCTAAACGGGAACTATGCGGCTATATGCGAATGTCTCTCTATGAACCCATTGGCAGGTAGGCTTGTAGCGCAAGAAAATGCGTACAGCAACGATGTTTAAATAGTGAAAACCTTACATAACATCGCTTTAAAGATGAGTTTTACTCTCTTTTTTACTGTGTAGACAGTGAATAGAATTTCCCAAAGTGTATTTATCCGCAATATGATGAACCGCAAACCATAGCCTCTCCTCTTTTGTCTAGTAAACTATTCTGTTCAATCAAATCCTCCTTACATAAGATTGTAAAGTAAACATGTTATTTGAACATTTGGCTCTTTATTTGTTGAGCCGCCTCATTGTTTTGGATACGCTTGGATACGGCACATCAGTATTTGTTAAGCACTTAACTGTGAAAAAATAATTTTTCCAGCAATTTTGTTACCACGTTTTTTTTTAAATCGACAAGACTGTCGTAGGCTATATGTATATAGTCGAAAACTTAAGTTCTCTTTCAAGCACAATTCAAACTATACAGTCACTTCGACAGGTGGTTGCCAGGACGACGCATGGTCGGGTTTCGTCCTACAGGTCTTTTTTTTGTTACTGCCCCAAGAATGACGAATTTGTCGTGCATTTTCCTGTTGCACGGATTTTTAGCTATTTCATGACAGAAACTGCCCTTTATGATGACCTACGACCATGTTTTCTGTCACAAAACAGCCGGATGTTGCGCGACGCGCCCACAACTGCCCCAATAATGTCACCAATTTGACGAATCTGTTGAACGTTTTTTTGTTGTTGATTTCTCAGCTATTCTATGACAGAAACTGTCCTTTATATTGACCTACGACTACACTTTCTGTCACAGAAAAGCCGGATGTTGCGCGACGCGCCCACAACTGCCCCAAGAATGTCACCAATTTGACGAATCTGTCCTAAGATTTTTCTGCTGCACGATTTTTCTGCTATGCTATGACAGAAACTGCCCTTTATTTTGGTTTATGACCATCTTTTCTGTCACAAAAAAGCCGAATTTTGTACGAAGCACACACAACTGCCTTGACGATCTGTCGTGCGATTTTTTGTTGCACAATTTTGCAGCAAAGCTATGACAGAAACTGCCCTTTATGTTGGTCTACGACCATCTTTTCTGTCAGAAAAAAGCTGGATTTTGCACAACTGTCCTATTAATGAATGTCCCCAATATTTGACTAGTTGCTGTTTAATACTCACCAAAGAAAGCCAGCAGTACCACGAGTGCTGCAGTGATCAGGAGGGTAGAACGTAACGTGTTGGCCATTTCTGTCGATCTTCTCAACCGCCCGTAGATGCTCAGCAAGCTTGGTAGATCCTTCTGTCGCCTTGCGTGCGAGGTTTTGAGCTGTCAGATACGCAGAGCTGTTGGGGAGGTTGTTATATAACTGCACAACGCACGACCAGTAGGGCGTTTAATTACGTAAACACAGCATGCTGTCTGTATGACGTTGAGTCACCAAGCCACGCCCCCAGTGCGATTTACTTTTAAGTTTAATCTGTGAGTGTATCCGGGTGTGTCTTGTTGTCAGTGTCTTGAGCCAAAACGAAAGCAAATACCTAAAGAGTGTTGATTTGATTTGCTTTGATTTGATTTGGTTTATTAGACTGTACATGTATAAACAGATATATACAGCCAGGACTGCCCAACTAACCGGAGACTATTATAAAGGGCTAGCCCTCACAACAAGAACGTAAACAATTCGGAACAGGTAGCAGTTAACAGAGTCGATTACACTTCAGATAAACATACTGGTACGAGTACAACAGATGTTGCGGCCTCACGTTAACAAGCCATGAGATCTTGCCTAGTTTCCATGCGTTTACTATAATTACATTGTGTGCTATATTTACATTGTCAATGCAATTTTATTGAACTCGTACAATTTTACTAAGTAGTTATCATCGAATATTTATCATGAAGTAGTGTCCAAGGTTTGTTTTTGAAGGAGCTGACCTGAAGAGTGTTCTTTACAGTATGTTTTTTTTGGAAGCTGATGAGAAAAAAAACGCCTCATACAAAAAAAGACGTCATCAGAAAAATAATATTTTAATGGCCTACGAAAAGCGGCCAAAGATAAAGGCATTTTTGATAGAATAAAGAAAAAAAAGTTCAGTAAAAAATCAGCTCTCCGTGTCGGGGAATCGAACCCCGGTCTCCCGCGTGACAGGCGGGGATACTCACCACTATACTAACACGGACTGGCTGAGCTACGGGCCAGAAATAGCCCCTGCATATCTGAGGGTGTCAAATGTCAATTATATTCATCAATAAAAAAATTCGATTGATCAGGAAAAATCGATCGATTGATAAAAATTGATTACCAATAGGTCATTAAACAGCGGGATTTTTTTGTATTGCTTATATAGCTGATTCGTATATTTGAACGTGCTTTTGCATTGCAGTTTCTATATGTTCCGCTAGAGAGCGTATACAGACTACTATTGTAGTACTCGTACATGTACTAGGCTGAAGGCGGACATCCGGATTCATGATTGATTGTAAATATACAAGTTGCCATTTAATGTAAGATGTAGTTTTCAATGCAACATTTTACGGTAATAAATATCAGCATAAAATCATCAATACATTTGAATTGCAACATGATTTTTTTTGCATTTTATTGGCTTTATAATAGACCCTAACTTTATTGCTTTCAAACAACTTTATCATAACTTTTTTTTTTATTTGGAGAAAATATTTTTAAGATTTGGAGAATTAAATTCTGTTCAATATTTTTGTTCGATGTAAATGCAAAAAGCAGCTATTTCCAATCAATCAGCATTTCAGTATTCAACCCACTTCTACAAATAATATCAGGAATGACAGCTGGCTTTCTCTTATATGCAGCGGCTATTTCGTGCCCCTCGCCCAGCCAGTCCGTGTTAGTATAGTGGTGAGTATCCCCGCCTGTCACGCGGGAGACCGGGGTTCGATTCCCCGACACGGAGAGCTAAAGTTTTACTGAACTTTTTTCTCTTTATTCTATTAAAAAATGCCTTTATCTTTGGCAACTTTTCGTAGGCCATAGACACTTTAGTTTCCTTTTGAAGTATTTTCCTGATGACGTGTTTTTTTCTCTCGTTCCCTGACAAGGGAGATAAATTTTTTCCATTAAATTTTCATTTTTTTCTATAGACGAAAAAAAAATTGCTTTGTATATTGCCACTTTTTCAGGCCTTAGAAACTACATGTCATCAGCAATATCCTCCGTCTTTGTCTTCTTGTTACGTCTCAAAATTATCCCGACACGGACAGCTAAATTTGTCAAGATTTTTCTCTTTTTCCATTAAAAAATGGTTCTATCTTCGGCCGCTTTTCGCAGGTCATACACGCTTTAATTTTCTTATGGTGTCATTTTCCTGATTTTTTTTCTATCATCCCCGACAGGGAGAGCTAATTTTTTCCCAATTAATTTTTTTTTTGACAAAAGAAATGGCTTCATTATATTTTGCAACTTTTGGCATTTGTCGTAATAGCTGTAATGTTGGTAAGTTGTAACCTACTGGCTAGAAAATGTTCTTATCGCAATCAAAAGATAAATGGCCTGGGTCATACAATGATCATTCATTGAAAAATGTTTTCTCCTTAAGTTGTAAGATGAGGATAGAAAAATTGAGGATTTTAAATTCGTAACATGAAATCTATATCTAAATCATCGTATTTTTCAGGCCTGCATGTGTGATGATTACCTATTTGCTTATCGTTAATCTAATGTTAACTTGATTATCGAATGCAAATTTTGCTCATGATTTACAGGTGACACAGCACATGTGCGTGACACACGCCGTTCAAAGATGGTGAGTGTACATAGAAGGAAAGAACGAACGGGTAATATTCCGCCCAGGTACTTTTTAGACGTTTTCGTCGGTAGAATGTCTTAGTAAGTGTGCAGCAGAATGTCTGGGAGTGTTCGCCGAGGATTTGTACCGTTCTGGTGATGTTTTGAGGAGAAAGTGCGGATTTCCTGACCTGGCGAATTTTGGAGAAGACAAAAATGGCGAGAAAGTGGGGAAGAGTAGCATGGTACAGAGACGCGACTTCGCTCATTGTTGCAGGTACATTGTTTGGCTGACATTATTCCTTAGCAACTACAATGTAGTACGAACATGTCAAGTTATATTCCGTAAGAAATTATCTATTTCTGTATTATGGAGCGGCCGTTCCTAATTTTATACAGGCTTAGAAAAAGTCTTATCAAGTTACCGCGTTTACCGCGTTTTCAACAGCATTTTCAATGTGTGGTGCGCTTGTAGTAGAGTATTTATAAAATGTATGTGCATGTCTTTTTAGTCAGTTGTTCAGCGTTTTGAGGTTAGATTTGTTGAAAGAAATTGTGTATCGACCAAAACTTTGTCTTTATCTCCACGTCGTTCAAAACACATGTTGGAATGTGGCCGTGTACATGATTAGTTATTTTTCCCGCCAAAAAATTGCGTAAACAAGATGGGGGCCTCAAAGCTTCAAGGCGCCGAAATGAATACGATACAAAACGGTTAAAAACTAGTTATGTCGAGGTGACCATACTTTCGTTCTTCATTATCATTTGCAATGCATTATGTATACTTTAAAACCTTGTCCGTTTCCATTTTAGAGCAATTCAGTAAATAGTAATGACCAAGCCCACGTATTTCTGGCGCAAACACTACAGTTGACTATGCTTGAAGGTAGCAATTCCTGCTTTCAAAACATTTTGCGCCGAGTGTTTTCGTATTCCACATAAAGAATATTCGACTAACTTACAGTGGGTGTCACTGGAAGACAGAAGAAAAATGTCCAGACTATGCATGATGTACAAAATGACTAATAAACTGGTGGACGTCCCAATTACTAAGTACCTAATACCAGCCCAGAAGAGAACAAGAAATAGCCATGCCATCAAATACCAGAGTTATCAACCAAGGATCGAGGTGTCTTTCCTAGAACTATCGCAGAGTGGAATTCGCTGTGACCAACAGTAGGCGCATTGTCATTAGATAGCTATAAACTGGGTACTTTTTAGACGTTTTCGTCGGTAGAATGTCATAGTAAGTGTGCAGCAGAATGTCTGGGTGTGTTCGCCGAGGATTTGTACCGTTCTGGTGATGTTTTGAAGAGAAAGTGTGGATTTCCTGACCTAGCGAATTTTGGAGAAGACAAAAATGGCGAGACAGTTGGGAAGACTAGCGTGGTATAGAGACGACTTTGCTCATTGTTGCAGGTAAACCAGTACATTGTTTGGCTGACATTATTCCTTAGCAACTAGTACGAACATGTCAAGATATATTCTGTAAGAAATGACATATTTCTGTATTAGGGAGCGGCCGTTCCTAATTCCAGACAGGCTTAGAAAAAGTCTTATCAAGATACCGCGTTTTCAACAACATTTTCATTGTGTGGTGCGCATGGAGAGTATATATAGAATGTATGTGCATGTCGTTTTAATCAGTTGTTCAGCCTTTTTGAGGTTATATTTGTTGAAAGAAATTGTGTGTCGACCAAAGCATTTTCTTTATCTCCACGTGGTTCAAAACACCTGTTGGAATGTGGCCGTGCACATAATTATTTTTCCCGCCCAAAAATTGCGTAAACAAGATGGGGGCCTCAAAGCTTCAGGGCGCCGAAATAAATACGATACAAAATGGTTGAAAACTAGTTATGTCGAGGTGACCATACTTTCGTTCTTCATTATCATTTGCAATGTATTATGCATAATTTAAAAGGTTGTCAGTTTCCATTTTAGAGCAATTCAATAAATAGTAATGACCAAGCCCACGTATTTCTGGCGCAAACACTACAGTTGACTATGCTTGAAGGTAGCAATTCCTGTTTTCAAAACGTTATGCGCCGAGTGTTTTCGTATTCCACATAAAGCATGATTTACAGGTGACATGGCACAGTGGGTGTCACTGGAAGACAGAAGAAAAATGTCCAGACTATGTATGATGTACAAAATTACTAATCAACTGGTGGGCGTCCTAATTACTAAGTACCTAATACCAGCCCAGAAGAAAACAAGAAATAGCCATGCCTTCAAGTACCTGAGTTATCAACCAAGGATCGACATGTTCAAGAATTCATTCTATCGCAGAGTGGAATTCGCTGTCACCAAGTACAGTAGATAGCTTTAAACAATGTCTAGAGTTAGATGTTCAAGGGTTAGGTGTAACAAGTCGATATGTGTAATGTAGCCAGCTGCCGCCGCGCCGCGTGCCTGCGAAGCTGGTGTGTCACGCCGAAATGCGGTTATACCCGCTATACAGATACAGATTATGTGCAGTTTTCGTCGAGGTATGTGTTTGTTTTAAAGTAAAGATATTATAGATAAATTAAAGGTGTGAAAAGAGGAATATCAAGTAAGAAAAATTCCAATTCTTCATTTTATCCACCTTTTACTTGGTATTATTTGAAACAAGTGTGTAACGTTTAATGTCCGCA